CGGTATGCGCGCCTGTAGTGCAGGTACCATGTACGACTGGAATGTCTATATCTGCCAAATTACATAGATCCAATAGGTTAAAACCTTGTAGGGGGGTGGGGAATGGTTTAATTTAAAGGAAATTGGACTACATATGTTATTTAGTGTATTTGTACGAAGAAAATAATGCTTCGGTCCGTTTAGTCAATATGCACGCTTGTGTGTAGGTACAAGGCGGAACTGGACCTCAGAAATCTCCCAAAGTATATGGATTGGAAAGGTTGTAACCTAGTGTTGTAGAAGTCAAAGGCCTAATCTAGTGGACTGGTAAGAATATGGTACTAACTGCATCTCTACAAACATAGGTAATGTGCTCGTCAGTTTGGTCGGTATGCGCGCCTGTAGTGCAGGTACCATGTACGACTGGAATGTCTATATCTGCCAAAGTACATAAATCCAATAGGTTAAAACATGGTAGGGGAGTGCGGAATTGTATAATTTAAAGGGAATGGGAATATATATGGTATTCGCTGTATTTGTACAGAGAGAATAATGTGTTGGCCGGTAAGGTCAGTATGCACGCTTGTGTGCAGGTACAAGACGGAACTAGAACTCTAAAATCTCCCAAATTATGTGGATCGGAAAGGTTATAACCTAGTGTTGTTGAAGTAGAAGGCCTAGTGGACTGGCAAGAACATGGTACTAACTACATCTCTACAAACATATGTAATGTGCTGGTCACATGTATGCGCGTGTGTAGTGCAGGTACCATGTACGACTGGAATGTCTATATCTGCCAAATTACATAGATCCAAAATGTTAAAAACTGGTAGAGGGGTGGGGAATGGTATAATTTAAAGCAAATGGGAATACATATGTTATTCACTGAATTTGTATGGAGAGAATAATGCGTCGGTCGGTTTGGTCAGTATGCACGCTTGTGTGCAGGTACAAGGCGGAACTGGAACTCTGAAATCTCCCAAATTATATGGATCAGAAAGGTTATAACCTAGTTTTGTTGAATGAGAAGGCCTAATCGCTGGACTCGGAAGAATGGGCTATACGAATGTTATTGCATTACATCATATTCGGAGATTCCAACCATCCTCCTATGTGGACTTCGCAATACTTCATCGAGCCAGAACTTCCACATTTTGCAAAGAACGCTACTATAGTATTTGGCATGTTAGTCGCTCGAGTTGAGTTAGAGCTTCTACCAATAGTTAGCACGCACACCAGCTTCGATGGAACCGACCAAGGTTCAAATGGTCGACCAACACAGTTCCAATTGCATGCACGAACACGCAGGTCAATTAATTGCCTCCTCTGCAGGTATAGTTCTGCCTCTTGCTACCACTTCTCTCCCTCCTACTGGTACCATTGTTTAAAAACCCTTATTGAAGATACTTGTCATCTTCTTTAGTGTATAGGTATGCAGTAAAGTACTGATGTTATCATGACAAGGCTCGGTGGATGCTGGGAACATTTAGCAACCAATGAGTCCTCAACCATTTGCCGAATAAGTAACATAGATAAGCAATGACGTGAGAGCTTCGAGTCGCGGTCTATCTGGTGCAGCCCCCTTAACATTCAAAATTCACCTTAGAGGACAAAAATGGAGCCATTTCATTACAAAATTGTGGATTTGTACGTGATTGGAGAGCTTCGAGCCGCGGTCTTCCTGCATTTACCCTCATGTACGACAATTGTGGATTTGTACATCCTTTTTATTATAATCAATAGATTTAGAATCCGGAGTCTTGTTCACCTTATAGACTTCACTCACAGCAACTGAATAGAGCGTACGCCTGCCAATATTCCAAAACCACTTCGCCCGCGGCTTTCGCATATGTACAACGAGGACGTTCGCATTCCGCAAAATCAGCTCCACTTTAGTACGATCTTCCGTTGGAATTTAGATAGAGAGTCTGCCAGCAGTTAGCACGTATGATAGCCGCGATGAGATCGGCAGGGGTTCGAAACGGTCAGCCAATGCAGTTCCAGATGTACGGGCACGAGCACGTTGGTTATTTCGTCGCCTCCGCTGCAGCCATAGTTCCGCCTTTTGCTAGCACTCCGCACCTTCCTGCTGAAACTATCGCAGAAAAAGTCATCGAAGCACCCGGTGCTGACGGTTCATCCAAACGTGGCACGACCTTTTGTAGCTCTTTCCTCGGTATTGCCGAGTCGGACCGAATAGCTGTGCGCGCTGACGCGACAGCTAAAAGTAACCATGCCCGCAGCGCGGGTTGTAACACCCTTCAGCCATCGGCCTCTCTCATTGGCCAAGCCACTGACAAGGCGAGCTCTACTCCTCCGGAATCTGGACATGTGGACTGGACACGTGTCACGGCGTCATTGATTGGCAGGGAGGTGGAAGTCACAGCAAGGGGTAACGAAACGAGGTTAAACCTGGTTTGGGGAGGTCAGGAGAGGAAGGAACAAGAATTAGGGTTTGAGACAATGTGCCGTGGCCGGTATATGGATAGTATAAGTGATGCAGACCTTAATATTAGCATATTAGGTTTTAGACCACTGGGTGTAACGCTTTCCCTTATGCGTAACGCTGCGGTAAATTGTACAGTGAACGATGAGAATTCGTTACAGGACGGAAGAAGCGGAGCTGAGAAAGCCGCGGACCATGCTGACGTGGGCATGACCCGTGTAGACGTGGAAGCTGTCAGCGATGACGATGCGGATGCTGATGCTACCACCCCTGGTACCGGTATTGCTTCTGCTGGTGCTGGTGCTGGTGCTGCCGCTGGTGCTGCTGGTGATTCGTGCCTTCAATCGGAGCATGGGAGCAGCAGCAAGTGCGCCACAGGCAGAGGCCAGAACCTTCCGAGAAAATGGCCTTGCAAGGGAGGGGGAGCGGGAGGGAAGCGGAGGGAAGCAGTGGAAAGAGGAGGCGGAGGAGGGAGAGGGGGACGAGGAGGGGGAGGAGGTGGAGGGTCAGAGAGTGTCTGGGCGTGTGTTGACGAGTTTGTTGCCCGAAACCCCGTTCAGGTGAAAGCCCAGGTAGTCTGTTGCCATGCCGTGCCGTCCAATTCCTTTCACCGCTTCCCACCTGACAAAACACCCGAAAGAGGAGAGGGAGGCAAGGGGGGTACAGGGGAGGGGGTGCCAGGAACGGTGCTGGTGATTCAAGTGGTAGTGGATGTGTATGTGAGCAAAGAGCTCTGGTATCTGCCTGCCCGGTGGAAGGGAGGGGCCGCCACCGCCTCTGTTCTCTCCCATCTTCGCTCTGATTGGCCCATGCATCCGTGTAACCAGCATTGTAGCACACGGTGTGAAACGTGTGCGTCTAGGTGCCAGATGTGCTATTGTGGTGCAGGCATGGGTGTGGGGGTTGTGGGTGCAGTGGGAATGGGTGTGGGTGTGCTGGGGACGCTTCCTCCTCGCAGTCTTCCTGCCTGTGATGTGCACGGCTGCACCCTCCACGGCTTTCTGAACTTCTCCTCTTCCTCGTTTCTGCACTCACCAGCTGAAGCTTCCTCTACAATCACTCGGCCTGCAGTCACACCATCTACAGTCACACCAGCCACACCTCATACAGTCACACCTTCTCCTTCCAGCGACTCCTCAGACTTCAGCCTGTCCAAGATCTTTCGCTCGCTGCCCAACCGATTCGACGCCCCGACAGTCTGCCCGTAAGTTCAGAGTTAGGGTTTACGGTTGAGGTTTTAGGGAACTGTTTTGTCACCTCTTCCTCGCAGAGAATCCTCTGAGTTCAGTTTGGCTCAAATCTTTCGCTCGTTGCCCAACCGGTTCAACGCCCCAACAGTCTACCCGTAAGTAAACTGCATCCTGCTTACCTCATTCCCCCCCTCCTACCCCCTCCCCCCCTCCCCATACGATATGTTTTTATTATTGTTACATGCACTGATGCTCTGAAGCAGCTACTTTGTCTTTATAGTTGCCCATCCCCTTCTCTCCTCCACCATCCCCTCTCTCCACCTGATTTCCTTCCTATGCATACCCCTCCTTACCCCTCCCTGCCCCCTTCGCTCAGCGACCCCCCTCCAGCACCCCCCTCCTCCTCCGCCCCTCCTTCCCCTCTCCTCTCGCTCCCCCCCGACCTCCTCCTCCTCTCCCTCTCCCGCCTCTCCCCCACCGACCTCCGCTCTGCTGCTGCCACGTGTACACGCCTGCGCCAGCTGGCACTGCCAGCTGTACCCAACCTGCCGCACCTGTCCCTGTTTCCACATCAGCGGTCGGCACTACAGTGGATGATGGGAAGAGAGAGGGGGGAAGTGGGGAGGGAGAGTAGGGGAGTGAAGGGGAGAGGGGTCCCGCAGGGGTTTGTTCGGAGCCCATTAGTGAGTGTGTTGAGGATGAGAGAGGGGAGTGAGTGTGGTGGTGGTGGAGTGGGGAGTGTGAAGGGGAATGGGAAGAAGAGTGGAGGGAACGAGGGGAGGGTGATGCTGTGTGATGTGATTACAGGGGGGGTGAGATTCCTTTGGAGCAACGAGAGGAGAAGCGGAAAGGGGAAGAGAAAAGGCAGAGAGTGGGAAGCAGAGGAAAGCAAAGGTGAGCAGCAGGAAAGCATGAGTCTGCAAGATGGCGAGACGAAAGAAAAGAAAGCTTTGGGATGTTCAGGCTCGGAAACTTTGGAGTCCGGCAGATTAGGCATCGTACCGGACCTAGAGGACAGGCTCGGCATGGTGCCGGACGTGCGGGGAGGTTTGTTTTGTGACGAGCCTGGGCTGGGAAAGACTGTGACAGCCTTGGCACTGATCCTCAAGACTAAGGGGTTGCTTCCGGCTGTGCCTAGGGGTTGCCGATTGGTGGTGTGTGGGAGGAAGGGAGAGAATGGGGTGGATGGGTGGAGAGGAGGAGGAGGAGGAGGAGGAGGGATGTGGAAAGGAGGGTTGCTGGGGTATTACGAGAGGGTTCTACCCGGAGAGGCAAGGAAAGGGAAGGAGTGGGAGGGTGGGGGGGCGTGGGTGAAGCAGGCATGGCATGGCAATGCGATTGCGGGAGGGCAGGACGCTGTGGGTGAGATTAGGGTGGAGAAGGGGATGGTAGAGTGCGGTTTACAGGAGGAGGCACGTAGAGATGTGTTGAATGCGGTGCAGGGGAGTGGCAACAGGTGTGGTGTGGTGCAGGGGGATGGGATTGGGATGACAGAGGAGCTGTTAACTCGGGGCAGTGTGGTGAAAGGGGTGGGTGGCGGGGCAGAGTTGAGAGGTGGGACGGAGTTGAGAGGTGGGACGGAGTTGAGAGGTGGGGCGTTTTTTAGAGGTGGGGCAGAGGGGAGGGTGGAGACTGATGGGAGTGGGGCAAAAGGCGGGCGACAGGAAAAGGGTGAGGGAAGGGAGAGGAGTGAGGGAGGAGGGAAGAGCGAGGGAGAGAAAAAGGGCCCGGGAGGGATGAAGCTTAGGGCAGAGGGAAAGAGTGAGGGAGAGGAGAAGAGTGAGGGAGAGGAGAAGAGTGAGGGAGAGGAGAAGAGTGAGGGAGAGGAGAAGAGTGAGGGAGAGGAGAAGAGTGAGGGAGAGGAGAAGAGTGACGGAGAGGAGAAAAACAGGGGAGTGAAGGGCGGAGGGAAGGGGTCAAGGAGACCCAGATCGAGTGCTGGCAGGAGGGGCAGTGCAGCAAACGAAGCATCCGAGGGTGCAGCACGGGGGGCAGCAGTGGAGGCAACAAAGAGTGCAATGACCCGATGGGGTAAGGATAAACTTCCAATGGTGCTTGCCTTGCAAGCGCCGAATTTGACGAGCCAGATGGACGTGGGAGCTGCGCTGGGATGGAGAGCGGTCCAGAGCGGTGTGCAGGGGAATCAGGGATCAGGGATTTGTGCTGCTGACACGCTTGGGGTTGCTGATGGGACTCTTGTGACAGGCACTCAGGCAAAGGAGAACAGCAGGGAGGCAGGAAAAGAGGATGGGAGCGAGGCAGTAGATGTTTCTTGGAGTGATGATAAGAACAAGGGTGATGAAGCTGGAGGTGAAGATGCTGCGCGGAGTTTTGAGGCGCTTAAAAAGATTTGGAGTGGTGATGGGAACAAGGGTGGTGGAGATAGAGAGGAGGAGGCTGGGAGGAGAAGGAAGAGAAGGCACCATGGTGGAGGTGGTTGGAGGGGTTGTGGTGAGTGTGCTGCTGGTGATGATTGCTTTGCGTGGGGGAACGGTCATGCGGAGGGTGAAGAGGAGGGTAAGGAGAAAGGTGAAGAAAATTTTAAGGGTAGAAGTGAAGACGGGGTGAGGTACCATGACAAGGGGAGGCGATGGGAAGAGGAGGAGTCGGAGGAAGACGAGGAGGAGAGAGGAAGTGGTGAGAGGGAGGATGATGAGTGGGTGCCTTCTAGTGCGGGCAGTGACAGGCGAGTGAGTTCTTCTGCTTGTGCCAAGGACTCAACACCAGCCTCTCGTCTCTCCAAGGATGCCACTCGTTCCTCTGCACAGATCACTCCATTGTCTGCTCGTTCCTCTTCTTCCAAGGGGTGTGTACGTATACTTTACCCTCCCACAAGAACTTCACAGCAGCAGCAGCAGCAGCAGCAGCAGCAAGGGCGGCAGAAGCAGGGTGGCCTCCTGTGCCCTCCTGATGGTGCTGCTGACGCTGCTGATGGTGCTGCTGACGCTGCTGATGGTGCTGGCGTGTGTACCACTAGACGCTGCTTGCTCACCTGCTTTGGAGCATGCAAATACAAGAGCCTAGGAGAACTAGTGATTAGAAAGGAGGTCGTGAGTGGCAATCACAGGAGCAGGGCACGGGGAACCACTGCAGAAGCTGTGAGTGATGATCGCAGAAGGAGCAGCAGGAGGATAGATGCAAAGCGCAAGGATTTGGAACGTGGTGAGGGAGCTAAAAGTGCAGCAGTGGGTGCAGCCGGAACGGTGTATGGGAGTTTGGAGCATGCAGGGAGTTTGGAGCATGCAGGGAGCGATGCAGATAGAGTGGCTGATACGGTGCTGGGTGGCGGGACTCCCAAACGCAGGCGCACAGCAGTGCATGTGTGCAGGCAGAAAGAGGCGAGGATGCAAGAGCTAATGGTGAAGCAAGGGGATGAAGATGAGTGTAAGGTTGTGGCTGATGGGGAGAACGGGCATGAGGGTAAGGGGGATAAGGGGAGGGCAGAATCAGGAGAGGGAGAGGGAGAGGGGCAGATTGCGCGGGAGAAAGAGAAGAATGTGGGAGTGGCGACAAGGAGCCATGGGTTAGGGGTAAGGCGCAAGAGGGGGACGGAGGAGGAGGGGAAGGTGATGGTGGTGCAAGAGGGTGAGCAAAAGGCAGAGACTGAACCGCAAGTGGCAGCCAGGCAGGGCTTGACTGTAAAGGATGAACAAGAAGTGGACAAGCAGCACGGGACTGTAAAGGGCGAACGAGAAGCAGTCAAGCAGCATGTGACTATAAAGCTGGCTGAGACGAGCCGCGAGGGGCAGCGTGAGACAGACGAGTTGGTGGAGAAAAATTGTGACTCAACTCAAAAGTCGGGTTGTGAGGGGCAGTGTAAGGCAGAAAGCGAGCTTGTGAAGAAAGGTGTTGAGTCAACTCAAAAGACGGGCTGTGAGGGGCAGCGTGGGGCAGACAGCGAGAACGAGACTGTGGAGAAATGGCTCTCTTGTGACGAGTGTGGCAAGTGGAGGAAGGTTCCCGGAAGCTACACCTATCCGGACAATCAGTTGTGGTTCTGTGGGTTGAACCCTGACCCTGCCCGGCGGGTTTGCTCCGACCCAGAGGAATCTGCCGGTGCTGACTCTGACATTTCTTCGCTGCCCGGATTCTGCCCGGTTGAGGCGGCTTTTGACGGCGGGCTGCCCGCAAATGTGTCGCTATTCGTGGAGAGGATCAGGGGCGGGTTTCGGCGGGCGGAGTCGGAGTTGGAGTGGAGTGACGTGGAGCAAGGAGTGAGGTGGCTTGCTCGGATTGGTCCTGGAGAAGCAGCGAGGCTGGTTGGTGATGTGGGTGAGGCCGGGGAGAAGGAGAGAGGAGGAGAGTGCATAAGGGGGAGAGGAGCAAACAGAGGAGGAGGGGGAGGAGTAAAGAGGGTCAGCAAGGGCATGGGCAGCAGTGGCAGCAGCTGTAGAGGCAGTGAAGCAGAGCAAGGGAGGGGTAGTACGAGAAGAAAGGGCGTGGTGCCCCCGGGGTGCGTGGGGCGCTGTGAGTGCTGCTCTCACCTGCTGGCCTCCCTCGGGCTTGTGTGGCTGCCTGCGTCGCCCCACACACCTGGACACACAGCAAGGGGAGGACGAGCACGAGGGGGTGGAAATGGAGGAGGAGGGAGGAGAGGCAATGGCGGCAGCAGAGGAGGAGGAGGAAGAGGAGGAGGAGGAGGAGGAGGAGGAGGAGGAGGAGGAGGAGGAGGAGGAGGAGGAGGAGGAGGAGGAGGAGGAGGAGGAGGAGGAGGAGGAGGAGGAGGAGGAGGAGGAGGAGGAGGAGGAAATGGGCCACGAGTAAGGGGAGGAGGAAGAGGAGGTGGAGGTGGGAGAGGAGGAGGAGGTAGCAATGGTGCAGGTTCAGCAGTGACAGCAGCGAATGCATCTGGGCTGACAGGGCTGGATGTGCTCTCGGGCTTTAATGCGCTGTCTGGCGTGCAGGTGTTGACTGGCGGTCTTGGCGGTGTTGGTGTGGGCCGTGTGAGTGACAGCATTGGAGGAAACTCGTCTCATGTCTCTGGTGCTGTAATGCCAATGACAAGGGCAAGCGCTGCTGCTGCTGCTGCTGCTGCTGGCAGTCTTGGTGGTGTGGGTGTGGGCGGTGAGCAAGACAGAATCGGGGGAAACTTGTTTCATGTGTCTGATGCTGTACCGATTGCAAGCGCTGCTGTTGGGGATCTGATTCTTGATGTTGATGGCTCTGCTGCTGCTGGTGATGGTGACGGAGTTGAAGGAGAAGGAGGAGGAGGAGCAGGCAGAGCAGGAGGAGCAGAAGGAGTGGCTGGAGCAGCGGGAGCGGCAGACACAGGAGGGAGAGGCAGGCGAGGCAGGCAAAGGGCCAAGCCCCACCAGTGTGCACGTGGCAGTGGTGGTGGAGGGTCGTGGGTGCTCCCCCCCTCCCTCTCGCCTCAACTTACCTTTGACTTTGCTTCCTTCCGCCATGCTCTCGCAATTGTTGACGGGCGGAACGGGCTGGGTTTAGGGTTTGGAGGGCAGGGAGGGTACGGAGAGCAGAGGGGGCAAGGTGGGGAGAAAGTGCAGAGAAAGCAGAAGGGGCAGGGAGGTGGGGTTAGGCGAAGAGGGGATGTGGTTACCAACGGGACTGTTACAAATAGCCCTATTACCTGTGGTAGTAGCGAAACTACTGCTGCTGTTGCTGCCAGTAGTGCTGATGTGGCACATAGGGATTACCATTTTGTCTCGTCTGCCACATTGATTGTGGTCCCCACCACACTTGTCAGCCATTGGCTAACCCAGATCTCCCGCCACGTGGCGCCAGGGGCTCTGCGCGTGTGTGTGTACGACGGGGCCAATCAGAAAGCGCCAGCTGTCCACAGCCTGGCGTGGGATTATGATGTGGTGGTAACCACGTTCAGTCGGCTGAGTGTGGAATGGGGGGGAGGGGAGGAGGGGGAGATGGGATGGGGAGGGGAGGAAGGGGATTGGGCGAATGACAGCGAGGGGTTTGGGCGTGAGAGTATGTGGTTGAATACAGAGGAAGAGGAGGAGGAGGAGGAAGGGGAGGAAGATGACAAAGGAGAGGAGGGCAAGAGGACAAGGGAACGTGCAGAACTAGATAACAAAGTGAGGGAGGGAGAAATGCAGAGGGTTGGAGGAGCTATTTTGAAAGAGCGGAGCAAGAGGGGGGACAGAAGGAGGTGGGGTGGACAAGCAGATGAGAGGAACACCAACCAACCGTTGAGTGGTCTGAAGGAACGCAGTTTCAGATACAGACAAACAGAGCCAGTCGGATGGTCGCCACGTGGATGGCAGGACGGCGGGCGGCGACCTCAGCGGGCGGCGAGGAAGCGGGTCCGGCTGGGAGTGAAGGAGAGCCGTCGGATCGCGTCGCCGCTGCTGCGCATCCATTGGCTGAGAGTGATTCTGGACGAGGGGCACACGCTGGGTGCCAGCCTGGCAGCCACGAACAAGCTGCGCATGGCTGTGGCATTGAGAGCGGCAAGGAGGTGGATTCTCACCGGCACACCCACCCCCAGCACCCCCACCAGCCAGGTGAGTTCAACCCCAGCACTCCCAGCACTCCCAGCACTCCCAGCACTCCCAGCACTCCCAGCACTCCCAGCACCTCCAGCACCCCCACCAGCCAGCAGCCACGAACAAGCTGCGCATGGCTGTGGCTCTGAGGGCTGCGAGACGCTGGATACTGACAGGCACGCCCACCCCCAGCAACCCCACCAGCCAGGTGAGTCATTCCTGCGTCTCCTACCACTCCCTACCACTCCCCACCACTCCTAGCACTCCCATCTATACCATCTACGGACAGCAGCAGGGCGTGCGGGAAAATATCACCCCACTCTCTTCACATGCCTCCCCTTCCTTCCCCGTCCTCCTCTCCCCAACCCCCTCTCCCTCCTCCTCCATCGTTGCAGGTGGCATATCTCTTCCCGCTGCTCTCCTTCCTGCACGAGCCCATATACGGTCGGCAGCAGGGCGTGTGGGAGTGTCTACCGCACTTCACTCTCATCCCTCCCTCCTTCTCTCCCCCCTTGCAGGTGGCCCACCTTTTCCCGCTGCTCTCCTTCCTTCACGAGCCCATATACGGCCGGCAGCAGGGCGTGTGGGAGCGGGCAGTTCAGAAGCCATTCGAGGCAGGCAGGCCCGAGGGGAGGCAGCGACTGGTGCAGGTGCTGACTCGGTGCATGTTCCTGGGGCAGAAGACGGACGTGCATTCCATCCCGCGCTGCGACAGGAAGGTGGGTTGATAGGCTAAAGCAAGGTGGGTTGATAGGCTAAAGCAAGGTGGGTTGATAGGCTAAAGCAAGGTGGGTTGATAGGCTAAAGCAAGGTGGGTTGATAGGCTAAAGCAAGGTGGGTTGATAGGCTAAAGCAAGGTGGGTTGATAGGCTAAAGCAAGGTGGGTTGATAGGCTAAAGCAAGGTGGGTTGATAGGCTAAAGCAAGGTGGGTTGATAGGCTAAAGCAAGGTGGGTTGATAGGCTAAAGCAAGGTGGGCATGGAGAGGCTGATAGTCTTGAGGGGAGGCAGTGACTGGTGCAGGTGTTGGCTGGTGTAGGTGAAGGTGAGGATCCATCTGTGCTGCTGGGGGAAGGTGGGTTAGTGAGGGTGGTGAGGGGTTGATAGGCCCCTGACAGCTGGCAACACGTGGTGCAGGTCATGACTCACCCGAAATTTGTGAAAAAACGTTCAGAGCAACCTGTGTCTTTTTTTTCACATGCTCTCCTGGGTCTCTCGCTTCCTCTGTGCCAACCCTATTCTCCAGTGTTTTGAGACATCTCAAAACACGCTCTCTTGGGTTGGGTCTTTCCCTTCCTCTGTGCCGCACCTACCTACCCTCTAGGTGAACCTGCTTTCCTTCTCCCCACAGCAAGCCAGCCAGATCCCATAACGAATTCGTCGAGACCGTTCAGCAAAGCCTGTCTCTGCTCTGCCCATCTCCCTCTGCCCATCTCCCTCTGTCCCCACACTTCAGGTGAAGCTTCTGTCGTTCTCTCCTCAGCACGCAGCATCCTACAACGAGTTTGTCGAGACCGTTCAGCGAAACCTGCTGCTCGCTGATTGGATGGACCCTTCCCACGAGGAGTCCCTCTTAAACCCCCGGAACTTAAAGCAGGCCAAGCAGACACTCAATAACGTGCGCCTCTCCTGCTGCGTCGCCGGGCACATGGAAAGTTACGACCTGCCCGGGGATATTGATGAGACGATGCAGCAGCTGGTGCAGGGCGGGCTGGAGCCTGGCTCGGGCAGGTTTGAGGAGATTCGGGCAGCTTTGAAGGGAGGATGCTGCTGTGAAAGGTGGGTGGAGGAAGAATGGTTGTTTTCCTGGCTGACGAGTTCTTCTGACCACTTAACCTCTTTCCACCTGTAGAGAGGGTGTTTTTGAGACGTCTCAAAAACACCCTCTCTACACGTCTCAAAAATGAGACGTCTCAAGAATGGTTGTTTTCCTGGCTGACGAGTTCTTCTGACCACTTAGCCTCTTTCCACCTTCTGCACCTTTTTTGGATTACCTATTTTTGTCCACTCACATTGTCTCACTTACTCTTTCAATCACTCTTCTCCCAATTTCAGGTGTGGCGATTGGGTTCGTCTCCCCATAGTGACCCCCTGCCCGCACCTGCTGTGCATCACATGTGTGGCAACGGACAAGCACATGTGCGCTATGCCGGGCTGTTGCCCTCTCTTTCCCTCACACTCTCGCCTCTCACTCCTCTTCACAATCCTCCTCACACCCCTTCCCCGTTCCCTTCCCTCCCTCAGGTGTGGCGAGTGGGTGCGTCTCCCTATAGTGACCCCCTGCCCGCACCTGCTGTGCATCACGTGTGTGGCAACCGACAAGCACGCGTGCGCCATGCCGGGCTGTTCGAGGCGGTACCGCATGCAGGAGCCCAAGGACATGAAACGGCCGGAGAATGCCAACCCAAAATGGAGCGTTCCGCAGGATCTGATCGAGCTGCAACCGTCATATGAACAGGTGAGGTTGTTTTAGAGGCGCCTCAAAGAGGTTGTTTTTGAGGCGGTTTTTGAGGCGCCTCAAAAACAACCTCAATGCACGCAGGATCTGATCGAGCTGCAACCGTCATATGAACAGGTGAGGTGCTTTTGGGGTTGTATATACTAGGAGGGAGGGGTGGGTGTGCGAATCAGGAGCCCCAAGGACATGAATCGGCGAGAGAATGCCAATCCAAAAGGGAGTGTGCCTCACGACTTGATCGAGCTACAGCCATCGCACGAGCACGTGGGGACTTTCTGGGGTGGCAGAGCCCGTCTTGGTATGACCATTCGTTGCTACTAGGAGGGGGGGTGTGCCGGTGCCAGCAGTGCCTTATGCAGTAGACCAAAGATATGAAACATGCTGAGAGCCGGAGACCCAAGTAGATTGTGCCTCAGGATTTTATTCAGCTGCAATCATTGTACGAGCATGTGGGGTCTCAATCCTCGTCACCCTCCCATCTTTCTCGCATTCCTTGTGGCATCTGAAGTGGCAGACGACAGCCAGCACCAAGATCCAGCACCTCCTCTCACTCTCGGTCTCCCCGTTTTCTCATTGCCCTCACCCTTCCTCCCATTCCTTGTGTGCAGAGGGAGTGGCATCTGGAATGGCAAACCACAGCCAGCACCAAGGTGGACTATCTGCTCTCCCAGCTGCGCCTGCTCGCTCCCCCTCCTCCTCCTGCTCCTCTTCCCGACAGCGTTCTGTCTCCGGCTCCTCCTCTTCCCTCCACCGCATCACCTCCAGTTTACCCTTATCCCGACCCACCGTTGCTGTCACATTCAGTACAGTCACCATCAGCAGCAGCACTGCCACGCACAGTACCACATGCCATGACGCCCCAGCCACCATTGCGAGATTCAAACGAGCCGATGGCTGGTTTCGCAGAGTCAGAGCATGGAGAGGGGGCAGCAAATGGCTGTGCTGCCCCAGCCCTGGGGGCAGAGTGCCCTGTGGCTGCTGGGGGGATTGGAGGCGCGAGGGACGGGTATGGCAGGGAGAAGGGGAGGTTCGGGGGGGAGAAGGCGATAGTGTTCACGCAGTTTCTGGAGCACATCGCACTGCTGGAGGCGCAGCTCACACTCGCCGGGGTGAACTTCGCTGGGCTGTACAGCCCGCGGCCCCAATCCGTCAAGGTCTGTCGCATTTCACATTCGAAGGCACCTAGAAATTTTTTTCACACTATGCGGTGTCGAGTTTGCTGGACTCTACAGCCCGCAGCCATTTTGTTCTTTCGCCATTTTGTCCCATTAAGTGGAATGATCTTATTTTGAGACATCTCGAAACTTGGAATGATCTCATTTTGTTTTTATTATCAAAGTGAGCTCATTGCATTGCCATGGCAGCCGTTGCTTTCCTGCCTTGTGCACGCTTCATCCACCCATCTGTTTGTGTATGAATGAGTGTGATGCGATGCGATGCAATGCGGTGTGACGCAATGCGGTGTGATGCGTGCATGCATGTACGTATCCATGTGCCAATGCTGAATGTGTGACTATAACGAGAGCAGATGCAGGAGCTGATGCGCTTCCAGCACGACCCCGCGTGCCGTGTGCTTCTAATGGATGGCACGGGGTCCCTCGGTCTCGACCTCTCCTTTGTGTCACGCGTCTTCCTCATGGAGCCCGTGTGGGACCCCAGGTATGTATCATCCCACCCCACGTTGACATGACAACCACATGCACATGGTACTCTCGGCCACATTGCATGGCCTATTTTCCACAGCAACTACTCCACCCCATCCGATACCCTCCATGCCACCCCACCACCCTCCCCTCGTTCCTTTCCCCATCTCCTCTTCCCCCTCCCTTTCCCCCCTCCCCATCCCCTGGCAGTGTGGAGGAGCAGATGGTGTCACGGGCGCATCGCATGGGCGCCTCTCGGCCAATCACGGTGGAGACACTGGCCATGGCAGGCACGCTGGAAGAACATATGCTGCACATACTGCAGGTACGCTGGTGAGGTAGACCCGGTGCAGGTAGATCTGGTGCAGGTAGATCTGGTGCAGGTAGATCTGGTGCAGGTAGATCTGGTGCAGGTAGATATGGCGCAGGTAGATATATTTGCCGCCTCCTCTATTTCGTGCATTATCCTGGCTCCCCTCCTTTCCCTCTTTGCCTGCCTGACAGTGGGGTGCAGGCAAAGCAGAGGCAGGCTAGGGGGGAAAGATCTGCGCTCTACCATTTTCTCACTCTTCCCATCCTCCCCTCCTCCCCTTGTTTCCCCTCTTCGGTGCAGCGCCTGCCTGACAGTGGAGCGCAGGCGAAGCAGAGGCAAGCAAGAGAGGCCATGGCAGGCAACGCCATTCTGCTGGCCCTTCTAACCCACCTGCCCTGCCCTCCTTCCCTTGCTTCCCCTTGCATCCCCTCTTCGCTGCAGCACCTCCCCGACAGCGAGGCCCAGGCGAAGCAGAGGCAGGCAAGGGAGGCAGTGGCGCGCAATGCATCTGCTGGCGCTGAAACTCGTCTGCCCTCCCCTCCTTCCCTTGCTTCCCCTTGCTTGCCGGTGCTTCCCCTCTTCATTGCAGCGCCTGCCCGACAGTGGGGCACAGGCGAAGCAGAGGCAAGCAAGAGAGGCAGTGGCACGCAACGCCATCCTGCTGGCGCTGAAACTCGTCCGCACCGCCGACTCATCCCTGCCGCTCTCGCCCTCCACATCAACCTCCCCCGCCAAACCCCTCTGTTTCTCTCAAGCCTTCTCACCCGCCAACCCTCACTCCTCCTCCCAAACCCTCTCCCCCACCAACCCCTTCTCCTCTGCCCACCCCCACGGTTCCCCTACCCCCCTGTCGTCCCGACAGTCCCTACCTCCCTCCAATCTCTCACTCTCCCCTTCCTTCTCCCAGCCAGCAACTTCCCTACAGACTCCTGCCCCAGCCAGCCCTCTCACAACCCCTCTCCCCCCAAATGCCCCAGAGAGGTCAACAGTCAATAAGTGCAGCTTGCCTCTCGCCCAAGCCCCACCAGGGGATGGCCAGCACAGGTCAACCTTTGTGGTAGGCGCATGTGAGAGAGGTACAGGTGTTGCCAGAGAGGGCGTGTGTGAGGGAGGTAGACCCAGTGCCAGCAGTGAGGTTGCAAGGAACAGCATAGTTCCCCTTCTTGTTGGGGATGACACAGCAGGCAGTGCAGCAAGGGTAGCGGAGGCACGGGCAGGGGGTATGGCAGGGGCGGTTGCTGCTCACAATTCACATTCTTCTGTTGTTTGCAGCAGAGGGGAAGGGGTTAGTGGTGCATTTGCAGGGCAGGCAGGAGAGGATTCTTCTGCAATGGAGAATGGAGGCACATGTGAGGAAGGGCAAGAAGAGAAAGAGGGACATCCAGAAAAGGAGGGACATTTAGGAAATGGAACGGAAAGGGATGGTTGTGGAACAAAAGAAAGGGGAGGCGGTGCTGTCACGCAGCTCAAGGGGTCGACCGTTGAGACGGCAGCAGCGGATGGAGTGGAAGGCATGGCCACTCGGAGAAGACGCATTGTGCGGTTTGCAGATGAAGGCACGCAACCGGAGCTGCTGGCTAGGGTGCTGAGACCAGCAGCTGAGTGAGTCTCATACACCAGCTCCTGCACACTGTCTAGAATCATTGGTGTGTTGCGGATATACTGGTAAGCCGATTTGCTGTATTGCATGTAAGTGTATATACATGTAGCTCATGCATGCACAGCTTGAAACTCCCGGGATTGTGCTGGTTGAAGCCTTGGCATAGCTGCACTAGTCACAAGTCATGTCAGTGTATTGTGGGTAGTCGGCAATGCCATGGCAAGTGGTGGTAGGGATCCGCAACAAGGGGTGGACCCTGACGAATGGTGGCAGAATTGTGTGAGGTGGATTGAGGTCGTTTTTTAGGCGCCTCAAAAATGACAAATGGTGATAGGATCGTGTGAGGTGGTGGTGTGTGTCAATTCATGCAGGCATCATTTGTTGGCTTGAAAAAACTGCTATAATAGCAGCAATCGGGGCAGTACACTACACAAGCAATTCAGCAACATACAATCAACACATGACATAACAGCACCAATCGCAGAGCTGCACACCTACAGTGCCACCAACTCCTGCTCCGCAGTCCACGTCTGGCCCGCTTGCAGCTCCACCTCCGATAGCTGGAGAGGGTGGCGAGAGGAGATGAGATGAGAGGAGCCAAAGAATAGGGATGAGCGGTGAAGAGAGGTGAAGAGAGGTGCACTTATTGGAGAGATGATAGTGAGCAAGGAGAGAGGACATGGGACGAGCAGAGCAGGGGAAAGAGCAGGCACCACACACAGGCAAAACAGGAACCAGGTTGGAGTGGTTGGGGCAACGCAGAGAGGGAGAGGTGAGTGAACGAGCAAGTGAACAGAGAAGCGGCAATCAGACAGCCAGACAGCTCACCTTGGCATTTTCAACACAGACGAAGTCGAGGTAGCAGGCGGGCATGGTGAGGTGCGGGCTCCACACGACAGCGTCAGTCCACCCCTTGTTGCGAATCGCTAGCTTCCTGCCCAGCCCGTTGTCCAGCACGAGTTCCTGTGGCGTGTTGAGATACATGCAGTCCACGAAGCCGGGGAAGGTAACCTCCTCCCTGGGGACGAGAGAAGGGAGAATGTGAAAGGGAGAATCAAGAATGTCATTCACTGCCCAGCCCGTTGTCCAGCACCAGCTCCTGTGGCGTGTTGCGATACATGCAGTCCACGAAGCCAATGTCACCTCGTCCCTGGTAAGGGTAGGAGGTGAGTTGCGAGGGCGGAACGAAAGGAGGAGAATCAACAACTGGGTTAAAAAAAGGGGAGAAGTAAGAAAGGACGAGAACAAGAGCGGGAGAAGCAGGAAGAATAGGTGGGGGGAGAGTTGGAAGGGGGATTGAGGGGGGATGGGATAAGGGGCTCATGGAATACTGAAGAATGCAGTTATCTCTCTTCCACACCCCCACCCAACCTGTGCCCGCACCCCACCTCCACTCCCGCAATGGAGTGTGGCGGGCAGGGTCAGGGTCCTTTTTAAATCACCTAGCATCTCAACCTGTGTTCTCCTTCCGCCCTCACTCCCTTCCGCCCCCACTCCCTTCCGCCCCCACTCCCTTCCGCCCCCACTCCCTTCCGCCCCCACTCCCTTCCGCCCTCACTCCCTTCCGCCCCCACTCCCTTCCGCCCTCACTCCCTTCCGCCCCCACTCCCTTCCGCCCCCACTCCCTTCCGCCCCCACTCCCTTCCGCCCCCACTCCCTTCCGCCCTCACTCCCTTCCGCCCCCACTCCCTTCCGCCCTCACTCCCTTCCGCCCTCACTCCCTTCCGCCCCCACTCCCTTCTGCCCCCACTCCCTTCCGCCACTCACCTGTGTGCCTTCCTTTCCAACCACTTGTGTGCCCTGCCTCACTCACCTCTCCTCCACGCCTGGGATGGGGTTGGTTGGTTGGGTCAGGGTCCATGTTCAGGGACTCGCAGAGTAACCCCAACTTCCGCCACTCACCTGTCAGCCTCCTCCCCCACTTCTCACCTCTCCTCCACGCCTGCGATGGGGTTGGTTGGGTCGGGGTCCTTGTTCAGAGACTTGGCGCCCTTGAGCCCTGTCACCTTCACTCCGCCAATAGCAGCCTGCCACGTGGGACGGGAGGAGGGGATGGGAGGAGAAGAGAGCGTCCATTTTGACTCACACATTGGATAGGATTGCTTTGGATTGAAATGGATCGGATTGGGTTGGGTCAGGTTGGATTGGGCTGGATTGAGATGGTTTCGGTTGAATTGGATTCGATTTGTTTCGTTTGGAATGGATTGGATCTGGTTGGATTGGGTGGATGAAGAGAAAGCGTAGGCAGCAAAGCAATAAGCGGCCATGGGGGATCCGGCCTGACCTAGAAACGACTGGGAAGACGCAGGGTAACTCAATGTTGCGCTGCCGAAGGCAAGCAGCCATGGCATGGCATGGCATGGCATGGCGGGGTGCTGTGCGGTGGTGAAGACGTGCAGGCATGGTAGGTAACATACGCGGAAGTATGAGTGCAGAGCAGTGGTGAAGGAAAAGGGCTTTCTGTCAGTGTTGGCCACTGTGAAGACCGTCTCCAGCTTGCCATCGGACAGAGAGATCTGCAGAGGGGGTTGGGAGAGAAGGGATGGTAGTAAAAAGTCGTCATGGGAGAGGGAAAGGGTGGTGAGGAAGTGAGTGAGTGAGAGGGTGGGGAGAGAGTGAGAAAGCGAGCGAGGCAGTGAAGGGGAAGGAGACAAGTGCATTGAGAGTGCGAAGTCCCTCACGGCCCGCGCGTATTGACTGTCGGAGAGGGCGAGAGAGAGGGCAGAGTGAGTGAGGGAGTGAGTGGGTGAGAGAAAGAGTGAGAGGGCAGAGTGAGTGAGGGAGTGAGTCAGTAAGTGAGGGAAGGGACGAGGTACCTTGAAGATGGCCTTAAAGGCGAAGTCCCACATGGCGCGCGAGTATTCGTTGTGGGAGAGGGCGAGGGTGAGCGAGGGGGAGAGTGAGGGAGAGTGAGACAGGGGGAAGACCAGAGCGTGGGGGCGGCCGTACATTGAAGGTGGCCTTAAAGGCGAAGTCCCACATAGCGCGCGAGTATTCGTTGTCGGTGAGAGCGAGGGTGAGTGAAGGGGACGCGCCCCCCTCCGCTGCCTCCACGTCCCACGTCAGGTTGCGCGCAAAGCCGTGCTGCGCGGAGCAAGGAGGAGGGGGATGGGCGGAGGGGAGCGGGAAGGGAAGGGGGAAGAGATGGGCGGGACGGGACGAGACGGGGGAGGGATAGGCGGGAACGGAGGGAGGAAGGGATGGGGAAGTGCATTTAATGTGGTCATGTGGGGGGGCGACAGCATCACCGAAGATACAGCATGGCATCATCACAGCTGTGGCATGACGTCATCGTACCTGCTGCATGGCGCCCGGGCCGAACTGGGGGAAGCAGTGCGGGATGCCGCCGCTGATGGGCTTGGCGCCGGTGAACAGCGCGCCCGTGAACAGCGCGCGCCTGTGAACAGCGCAGGACATCATCTTACCTGCTGCATGGCGCCGGGCCCAAATTGGGGGAAGCAGTGCGGGATGCCGCCGCTGATGGGCTTGGCGCCCGTGAACACCGCGTCGGGGCGCACGAACAGCAGGTCCTCGCCCGACGGAAGCTTCCAGGAAGTCGTGCACGCGCCGTAGAGATACACCTCGGCCGTGCTGACAGGATGGAGCAGCGATGGAGGAGGAATCGGAGAGGGATTGGGTGTGAAGGTAAGATGGAAAAGGATAAAACAGACAGGGAGAGAGGAAAGGAAGAAAAGAGGGAGGTTGGAAAATGGAGAGGAGAAGAGATGGCGGTTGAAAGCAGGACGGACGCGTTAATGCACCATTCGAGTTGGAAGAATGAAACTACTAACGTGCCGGATTCGGAGAGAGATGGCGGATGAAAGCAGATGCGAACACGGGAAGGATGGCGTCGGCGCACCTTCCGGAGGCGTCTGTGAGAGTCACACGTGGCAGGCCGCCCAGCCCGTCGTCGAAGCTCACTCCGTCCTTGCCGAACTTCGCCTGCAGGTCCTTGGAGCTAGGCTCGGTTCTGGTACGGAGCGACACGAAGGCATGGGGGAAGAGGGAAGGGAAAAAGTATGGCTCTGGAATAGATGTACTAGTCTTCGGATGCCAACCAGGATAATACAGATTGTTTTTGTTTGGTTCTCGTGCTGTTAGAATGTCGCATGGATTTAAACATCGGAGGTTCGGCCAGACACATGTAGCATTCGCGGATACCAGTGACCTACGCGGCAGAAGCGGACACGCTGACGCGGGATACGTGGGTCCTCCCACTGTTGGACCCTCGCGAAGCCGCAGCGCGCAGGGGGTTCACGGGAAGAATGGCGGCATGGAGCCTGTCAGCGACTGACGCGTGGCTCGCTGCGACGAGGCTGCGGACCGCCAGTTGAGACAGGAGCGCGGAATGCGCGGCGACGGCGTGAGCCATGGTTTGTCCGAGAGGGGGATGAGACGAGGAGGAGACGCCGAAATGAAGCGTGAACTGTGAAATTTGTGCTAAGAAACAACAGCTTTTTATATCTGAGGGAATTCAAGGCACCCCGAATCTGCCTTGGGGGAGAGGTCACACAGATTCTGATGCGAATTGCTCGGCTGTGACACATTTTGATGGCTGGTTGCCTGATCCACCAGAAAAGGTGTCCTGCAATTGCAGAACTGAATGGCTGACGTGGTTTAGTGCCACGTGAGTGGGCTCTGTGGTTGGAGTTTGGTCTAGGTGGCAAAATCCTCTATTTTTGCCCCCGAGATGCTCGAGGGGAGGAACACACGTGGAATATCCATCGTATTCGCGAGAGCTTGTGCCGAAATGTGTTACTCTACGCCGGTCTAGGTTCTGTATTTCGGTGCAATGGTTCTCTATTAGGAAATTCGTGACTACAAATACACCAAAAGAGCAGAAACAGACTTTGATAGTGATAACCGTAATGCGTAAAGGAGGGGGGAAAGTGCCGAAGCGTGCCTCGGGTTTGCTCCACAAGTAGTTCCAGCAAAATACGAATGCTGGTGAAGTGAGCCCAAAGTTTATTTTCTAGTCTAGTCTAGACCCTCCATTTCGACCTCTGCTTCACGCCTATTCCAGCTTCCACCTGTCCGTCTGCGCACTTTCCGCTCACCAGTTTAGTCGAACATCTTAGCTGTATCCTTCGGCGCTTAGTCATCATATAGTCACCCAGCCATGGGGGACGAAACGGTGTCCAGGCTGTTCCGCGTGAGACGGACAATCTTTGAGGTCCGTTGCGTTCTAGTGCATGCTCCATTACGTATCAGGACGGCACGTTACGCAATCTGTTCCGCAGTTTCCGTCTTCTAATATTATTAAAATATCAATTAATCCCTTGCCCTTTCCCCTAACCCCTTTATCTTCGCGTTACACGTCACACGCGTACATACCATTTTCTGAATCTTTAGTGAACAGAGCATTCCTGCGTGTTTTGTGTTGGCTGGTCAGATGCTACACGATCGCGGGTACCTTGTAGCTGATCGCGAGCTTCGAGCGACCAAGGATGACTTCAGAGACCAATTCGGGGACGACCCTCAACGAGACGATCTGACGCTACTGAAGCAGAAGAGAGACAACCCTAGCGACGAGGTGGGAAACCCTAACTGTTGTTTGAAGCACGTGTATACGAATACGAGGCTCAGGCTGGGCATCAGAATGCCGTTTCACTGGTATTAAGGTCTTCTTCCTATATTCCCTTTTTATTCCTCCTGTTGCTACAGTATCTCCTCCTCTCACCCTACTCCCCGGTTCCTCCTTGCTCACACTACTCTTTCCTTTTCTCAACCCCCTCCCACCTCCCCTTCTATCACATCCACGCCCCGGACCTCTCAGCCTGCTCCCCCCAGTCATCTCACCCTGCTTTCCCCTCATACTCCCCCATCTCCCCTCGCCCCACTCTCCCTTTTTCTCCTCCCACTTCCTCGTCTCATCTCACACCCAACCCGCATGAACCCACATGCCTCCTGAACCCGCACCTTCTCTGAACCCACCCTAACATTTGTACGTGTTCTTCCCAGTTAAGGCGAAGGTGGGTATTAAGACCACTTCTGCGGCGCCTTAGAAGGTACACACAGGGCCTTTCACTCCTCCCACCCACCCCACTCCCCTCTTTTCATCCTCTCACTCACACCAACCAATCCCCCCTCTCACTCCCCCTCCCCCCTTCCCCTCCCCCCTTCCCCTCCCACCCACACGCCCCATCCTCGTCTCATCTCACACACTACCCCCTTGCACCCACGCGCACAGATCTACGTGTTCTTCCCGGTGGAGTCAAAGGTGGGCATCAAGACGCTCAATGTATCAATTACCCTGCATTCTCGTCTCACCTCACGCACTATCCCCCTGCGCCCACACGCACAGATTTACGTGTTCTTCCCGGTGGAGACGAAGGTGGGCATCAAGACGCTCAAGGGGTACTACGAGAAGATGAAGGGGTCGGGCGTGTCACGAGCCGTCATGGTGGTACAGCAGAACCTCACGCCCTTCTCCAAGAAGATCCTCGCTGACATGGCACCCAAGTACATCATTGAGGTCTTCCAGGTAGGCGTTTCTCAGGTATTACTGGTGATGGTTGTTTTTGTAAGGTACATGGTGTCGATTCAGTGAACCTCACGCCCTTCTCCAAGAAGATCCTCTCTGACATGGCGCCCAAGTACATCATCGAGGTCTTCCAGGTAGGCGTTTCTCAAGTATGGATTTTGGGTGTTTCATGTGACACTATGCCGCAATTATTTCGCTGACTACCCTTTGTGTAGATTCGTATATATTGTGGGCCTGCATGTATTCTCATGCCGTTTTGATCATCACTTTGCCGGCCTCCGTTTCAATCATGCCCTGTTTAACACACAATGGCAGGAGGGCGAGCTTTTAGTGAATGTGACAAAGCACGAGCTAGTACCGCAGCACGTGGTGTTGACAGACGAGGAGAAGCACATTCTGCTGGAGAGATACACAGTCAAGGAGCACCAGGTGTGTCTGATGGGCATGGGTTTCAGTTCTTTCTTGGCATTGAGTCTCCTTGACTGTCCACATCTCTCTCTCTTTCACGCACTCCCCTTCTTTCCCCCCACCCACCTTCCCCTTCCTCCCCTTCGCGCCCCTCCACCCTACCCACCCTCCCCCTCCCCCTTTTTGCTCCCTTATTTTCTCCTACGGTACCTGGCTACCATTTATTTGCTACATGCAGCTGCCCTGCATGCAAAGGAGTTATTTGTGCCTGGTTACTTTGGGCTGGTTGGTTACCTATCGTATCCGTTTGATCACATATCCCATGCACATGCCTTGCTTATTTATTCCCTCTTCCGCACGCCAGCTGCCCCGTATGCAGAGGAGTGACCCAGTGGCTCGGTACTTTGGGCTCAACAGAGGGCAGGTGGTGAAGGTTCTCAGAAACAGTGAAACTGCTGGCAGATATATCAACTACCGGCTCGTAGTGTGACTGCGGAGCGGCCAATGGACTGGTATAAAACAACTGCAACCTACCTATGTGCGGGTGACTGTAATCCGTTTAATAATATAACGGTTGCATGTAGTCTATCTGTGACACGAGATATGAATCTGTCCCTCGATATCTTTGGGAAGGGAATGCTAGAATACATGGAATCAAAGTGGTTAGTATGCACCTGTGGTAGGTAGGTGCATCTACATATGTCGAAGCTCTATGGGGCGAAGTTGGTTTGACCTAGAAATTTGCGAATTTCGCGCTGTTGCGAGGGACCTTTCTCTGTTCGTAACCCCGCGCACTTTCGCTAAACTACGGTGCAATGCCGTCCACCCGTTCTACTGATAACCTATCACGCACGCACCTAATACATGAGGCTCTACTCTGACATACTCAGACTGACTGTACAGAACGTTCTCACGTCCTCGACACACCTTAGGTAATTAGAACAACATAGCTCTACGACGGCCTTGCAAGTTACGCATTACGAACATTCGTTCTCTTGTCAACTGTCCGTTCCTCGGTGAAGCGTTATTTGTACGTAAGTCGACCACGTTAAAGCCCTAGTATTAAGTAGCAGCAGTACCCCTAGTCCGTTCTCCTTTCAGTCTCTTCGTTCCGGTTCGGCTTTTCTCCCACCGCGGTCGTTTCCTGACCCATGCCCCCAGTACCATCCTCGCATGTCTCTCCTTGCTCACCCACGTCTCGTCTACTCCCTCCCTCCTCTCCCCCCGTAACCCCGTAATCTTCGCTCGGATGGATACCACCAGCGCGCTCCGTCGTGCGACCCTCTTCCGTCCGTGCAGTGGAACGCGAGTAGGGAGTGACAACCCTGGCACGAACTGTTGCCGTCCGCGAGTGAGGAGTGACAACCATCACACGTACACTCCTCTCTTGCGCAAATAGGGAGTGAAAACGCCTGTCCTCAAGCCGACGCGCTGCGCGAGTGGGGAGCGACACAATGCCGGCCTCAGCGCCCTACTCACCCCCGCCGGTCGCCTCCTCGCCACTCCCTAAGTGCGTCTTCATTCCAGTCTCGTCATTCGTTTTTTTTCTTTTCTTTTCTTTTCTTTTCTTTTTTTTTTTGCGTGCTGCTGTATGTTTCGTTGCAATAACCCCCCCGAACTCTCCCCTCTCCCCGTCCCCACCTCTCCCCACACGCCAGGCGATCGTCAGGCGCCGTTGAAAGCGTCCAGAGGCTCGGCATGGGGAACCCTGCTGGCGGCGCTGGCAGTGGTGCTGCTGCTGGCGTGCGCGCCCCTCTCCTGGCGCCTCAGCACCAAGCCTTTCTGAGGAACCCTTTCAAAGCACTCTCCCCTTCTCATCCCAACGCCAGGCGAGCAACGGACACCTTTGAGCCGCTCAAGGTTCCCAGGGGTGGCTTGCCTCCGCATGGGGAACCCTGCTGGCAGCGCTGGCAGTGGTGGTGCTGCTCGCGTGCGCGCCCATCTCCTGGCGCATCAGCACCAAACCTTCCTAAGAGCCCCTGCATGCACTTATCCTCATCTCACTTCAGGCGAGCAACGGACACCTTTGAGCCGCTGAAAGTTCCCAGAGGCGGCTCGGCATGGGGAGCCCTTCTAGCAGCCCTTGCGGTGGTGGTGCTGCTGGCCTGCGCGCCCCTCTCCTGGCGCCTCAGCACCCAATCTTCCACTGAGGCTCTTCACAACCCTGCCTTCTCTTCTCACTCCCCCTCTCCCTCCTCCCCTCTCCCATCCCCACCTCTCCCCACACTCCAGGCGAGCAACAGACACCTTTGAGCCGCTCAAGGCACCCAGGGGGGGCTCAGCATGGGGCACCCTTCTAGCAGCACTCGCGGTGGTGGTGCTGCTGGCCTGCGCGCCCCTCTCTTGGCGCCTCAGCACCAAGCCCTGGCGCCCGCACCTCTTCCCGCCTGTCTGCCGCCCGCCCACGCACGTGCACGCGCAGGCGGATCAACTGCCCCGCCTGTTCATGTTCATTGGGACTGAAGGGAGCGGGCACGACCTCTTTGAGTACATTTTCAGGTAGGCCCAGCAGGTAGACCGTAAGTACACACATGTGCGTGCAAGTGTGGGCAACGCAGCTGCCCCGTGTATTCATGTTCGTCGGCACTGAGGGGAGCGGGCACGGCCTCTTTGAGTACATCTTCAGGTGGGTTCCCCAACCTTTCCATACCCGCCAGTCCGCCACTCAGTCCGCAGGTACGTTGTACCCCACGCTCGTGCATGCACAGGCGGATCAGCTGCCCCGTGTGTTCATGTTCGTCGGCACTGAAGGGAGCGGGCAGAGCACGACCTCTTTGAGTACATCTTCAAGCGCTGGCTGGCTTGGCTGGTGGTGCTGTGTGACCCGACTCTCTACCTGGCAGTCCGTCCACATGCGCCACTCGCCCCACCACATGTGCTCCTGCATGCATGCATGCATGTTTGCGTGTGACGCTGCTAGATGCTCCTCATTGCACATGCTGTTGGTGTTCCATGCAGTCTCCCCCATTCCCCCACCTGCACCACCTCCTTGTTTCTCACCCCTGGTTACCCATCCCAACAACAGCAGCTTCCTTCCAGCAGCATGGATCACTTTAACCCTGACCTTACATTCGCACATTCTACTGCTTTCCTGCCTCTCCAACTCTTTCTCTCCCTCTCTCCCCCCTCCCAACTACCTGCCAGTGAACATCAGCATAGACCGATTCAACCCCGATCTGCACCTGACGTCATCGCCAGGGCAGAAGGTGGCGTCGGTGCAGAAGGTGGCGTCGGTGCAGGACAGGGCTCCACCGGCGAGCAGAGCTCCCTTCATTCCACTACCATCCTGCCCCTCTCTCCCACTCTCCCTCTCCCTCTCTCCCCCCTCCCAGCTAGCCCACCGGCAAGCAGAACTCCCTTCATTCCACTACCGTCCTGGCCCTCTCTCCCACTCTCCCTCTCCCTCTCTCCCTCTCTCCCCCCTCCCAGCTACCTGCCAGTGAACATCAGCATAGACCGCTTCAACCCCGACCTGCACCTCACATCATCGCCAGGGCAGAAGGTGGCCTCGGCACTGGACCCCACGGGCGCCACTGTTGACTGCCCCAAGCTGCCCTATTCGCGCCATGTGTATGACTTTGGTGTCCGCATGTCCACTGCGCTCAAGTCCAAGCTCCAGGTAACCCCCTTATTCACCTGCCTGCGCGCTGATAAGCTACTGCCGACCGCCCCGCCCCAAGCTGCCCTACTCACGTCATGTGTACGACTCTTCAGTGAACAGGAGCGCTTACTTCGGCGTTCGCCGCAAGCTTCACCACCGCTCATTCACCTCTTGCTGCTGTTCTTCCGCTTACTCCCCTTTATTGTGCGCAGGACACAAACTACTACCTGCGCGCCAGGGACCCCTTCCCCATGGGTCGCATTCGCACGCCACTGGCCCGCCCTGACCTCATCTCCCTCGCGACATTCCATGGCATTCTGTACAACCTCAAGGTACCACCCCAGGATGTGAGTGAGTTTGTGTTGAGTCTGCCAAAAAAAAAAAAAAAAAAAGAGGACAACCTTGCTTGGCACCTTTCACGGCTTTCTGTACAACCTCAAGGTATGACTGTATGTTACCGCTCTTTCTCACTGCTCCTTTTATTTCCCCCCAGCTCTTCCTGCGTGGTGCGATCCTCTCTCGCCCACTTCGTGGCATCCTGACACCCTGCCTCTCTCCCTTTCATCCCCACCCTCTTGCAGCTCGTGATGCTAGTGCGCAACCTCATGGACACGGTGCTCTGTTCCGTGCTGCGGCGCTTCTCATCTTCCGCCTAATCGTCTTGCACGGCACCGCCCTTTCTCCCCACTCTCCCTCCCCCTTTCAGCTCGTGGTGCTAGTGCGCAACCTCACAGACACCGTCATCTGGTCTGTGCTGCGGCGCTTCCACAACAATGATGTGGGCCTGCAGGCCTGATGTCACATCCCTTTTCATCTTTCCCCATGCTCGTCCTGCACACCACCCTCCGCCCTCTGCCCTCTCTCCCCTCCCTCTCTGCCCTGCAGCTCATGGTGCTAGTGCGCAACCTAACAGACACCGTCCTCTGGTCCGTGCTGCGCCGCTTCCACAACGACGATGTGGGGCTGCAGGCGAGGCTGATAGAGGACAGCATGGTCTACGTTGATGCCTCCTTCAGGACACTTCCTTGCGGCACGTTCAGCCTCATTGACGTGGATGCGCTGGTCAAAAGACCCAAGGTATGGGGAGCAGGATGGGTAGAGAGCGGAGCAGGGAGATGGGAATGGTGTGGGGCTGCAGGCTAAGCTGATCAAGGACAGCATGGTCTACATTGATGCCTCCCTCAGGACACTTCCTTGCGGCACGTTCAGCCTCATTGACGTCGATGCGCTGGTCAAAAGACCCAAGGTATGGGGAGCAGGATGGGTAGAGAGCGGAGCAGGGAGATGGGAATGGTGTGGGGCTGCAGGCTAGACTGATCAAGGACAGCATGGTCTACATTGATGCCTCCCTCAGGACACTTCCTTGCGGCACGTTCAGCCTCATTGACGTCGATGCGCTGGTCAAAAGACCCAAGGTATGGGGAGCAGGATGGGTAGAGAGCGGAGCAGGGAGATGGGAATGGTGTGGGGCTGCAGGCGAGGCTGATCAAGGACAGCATGGTGTACATTGATGCGTCCCTCGGTACGCTGCCGTGCGGCACGTGCAGCCTCATTGACGTCGATGCACTTGTTAAAAGACCCAAGGTACGGGGAGTGGGATGGGTTGGGCTGAAGGGGACAGACAGAAAGACGGATGGGCAGGGGACAGTCGGGGCTGTAGGCAAGGCCGATAGAGGACAGGACAGCATGGTGGTCGTTTTTGAGGCGCCTCAAAAACGACCTCAATGCCGATAGGGGACAGGACAGCATGGTCTACATCGATGCCTCGCTCCGGACGCTCCCTTGCGGCACGTTTAGCCTCATTGACGTCGATGCCCTGGTCAAGAGACCCAAGGTACGGGGAGCGGGATGGGCAGTACTGTACATGTGTGGGGTGGGTTTAGGGTGATGGTTGTTAGGGTGTGGGGCCACAGGCTCGGCTGGAAGAGGGTAGCATGGTGGTGCGTTAAATACTGCGCATTGTGCATATCTTTGCCTGTATTCTTTGGCTCCAAACGTGTCACCATTTCCATTCTTCACAATGTGCCCCCCTGCCCCCCCTCTCTTCCATTCCGTCGTCACTCTGTTCAGACCGCCTCCACTGCTCTGGCTCAGTTCCTGGGCCTACCCGGAGTGGCCAAGGAGGAGGTGTTCAGTGCGATACAGCGCGGTAAGGAGAAGTGGGAGCCGACGCTCACAGTGCAGAGCGGCCTGGGTGCAACAGCAGACGGGGATGAAGCAGCAGAGGTCACATTCGACGGGCAAGCACTTGAAGTCTTTTTTCAGCAGCGCGTGGGGCTGTGGCCGCTGCTGGACGCAGCTAAGGGAAAGCCAGTCTTTGTGCCACGTAACCCACAGGACTGGCCTCTGGAGTAATACCCTAGATAGAGCCATCCAGCTAGAAGTGCTTGAGTTTATTTTTCAGCAGTGCGTGGGGCTGTGGCCGCTGCTGGATGCGGCCAAGGTTAAATCCGTTTTTGTGCCTCGCAACCCACTGGAATGATCTGCTAGAGCCAATTAAAAGTGTTTGAGGGCATTGTTTATCACGTAACTCAGGTATGGCTGCTGCTTGATTCTGCCGCACGCACCCATACGGGCCCTGTTGTAGGTTGGTTTATGGATCGAATAATTGCATGCGCGTGGCCTTGGCTGTAGGTAATGATTTTCAGCTGATTTTGGTGGGGGTGGTGATTGAGTCTTGGGCTAAGCTAGTATTTGTAGCTCACAGCTTGCCGCATGTATATTTTTCTTACGCATTCTTCTGAATGTAGTTAGGGTGTCGAAGCTGCTTGTTACGCATCTGGAAATTCGCAAATGGGCTGTCTTGGAATTACCGCAAGTTCTCCCGCGATCTTCCCAAGGTCGATTCTAGATAGCGCTCTGGTTTATCGCTAATCGTATGTCACTCCTAGACACACACTATCACTTTCCAAGTCATTAACTTGTCTGCTTGCAGTCGTCTGCTTCAGTTTTCTCCGAAATTTTCTTAGTGACGACGCCGTTCAACTGATGGTGTTGTCTCGAAGGCGTCGCTTCGCCGCGAATGGCGCCGGACTTGCTGCAGAGGGCCCACTGGGGATCCCCGTCGGCGTGCTGATAGGATTTGTCGCACTCGTCGCATGCATAATCGCCACGGGGTACTATGCGACGTCGCGTGCGAATCAGGAGGCCAGCGAGGCGAAGGCGAAGCTCGCAGAGATGGAGAAGCGATGGGCGGAACGAGGGGGGTTGTCGCAGGCGCAGGGAGGGGAGGCGGAACCTCCTCCAGGGCGGTTAGGAACCATGCAGGCAGGAGGGATGAGCCAGATGAAGATGGATGCAGGTAGGTTCTGCGCGGTCGTGGTGCTCGGTTGTTTGCTCTCCTGTATATGCTGGCGTGTCATCTGACTAGCTTCTCGCGCTGCCTTCATCAATTCACGGAGCTGTGCACCCTCGAATTCACGGAGCTGTGCACCCTCGAATTCACGGAGCTGTGCACCCTCGAATTTCCTCGCCTCCCTCTAAAGTCCTGTACCCTCCACCTCTCCCTTTCCCCTTCCCCCGTCCACCTTTCCCATTTCCCTCAGCCTCAGAAGCAGCAGCAGTAGCAGCAGCCGATGGTCTAGCCACATGCGCTGCGGACTTGATGCGAGCGAAGCAGCAGCTGCGGATTGCAAGGGGTTGGGTGCGAGAAGGGCTTGAGCACTGTGTTAAACTGAGGAAGAAATACTCCAAGGCCCGGCACAAGTGGCAGACGCGCAAGGGGAAGGGCGCCGCTGTTGCGGCGGCTGCTGCTGCTGCTGATGGTGGTTATGGTGATGGGATTGGTGTGCTTTTTGACAAGCATGGGCATGGGGATGGTAGTGGAGGTCATGATGATAAAGATGATGCTGATGCTCATAAGCATGACCATGAGCACGACCATGAGCATGAGCATGAGCATGAGCATGAGCATGAGGATCAGGAGGATTTACCATGACCATGACCATGACCATGACCACGATGATGAAGATGCAGACCGTGATGACCATGAGGGCACGGATGAGGGCAAGCATGACAACGACCATGATGGGCATAGCGACAATCATGGTGATGATCATAGTGATGAGCATAGTGACAATTCCAAGAGGAAGTTTTCCAAGCATGGTGAAGAGGATGATGAGAAAGATGAGAAGGACAATGAGGATAAGGAGGATGAGCATGGCAAGGACAAGCATGGTGATAGTGAGGAGGATGATGAGGATGATAAGCATGATAAGCACGATAAGGATGAGAAGGATGATGACGAAGAAGAGAAGGATGATAATGCTGAGCATGAGAAGGGTGTGGAGGCTGGTATGGGGGACTAGTAAGTTGGGAGATAGAAAATACAACTGTTGTATGAGTACACATACGATGTGCAGTGAATTGTTGCTTTTCTATGTCAAAAATACCAGCCAGCAGGTGTACATACTACGTGTTCCTGTAGGCAGCTACTGAACTGAGACTTGCACAATCAATGCAGGAGGGTGGGACTAAAAGTTCAGGCATTGGAAGAACCATCAGGCCAGCATCAGGCACTCCAGTCGGGGATGGTGAGGTGTGTGTCGCGGTGTCCCATGAGGTGCATGCAGGGCAGCCGGTTGCGCAGATTCGAGCGCTACCATGCATCTGAGGAAGGAACCACATGCTCCAACCATATCAGGCACTCCAATCAGGGATGGTGAGGCGCGTGTCGCGGTGAGCCATGAGATGCATGCGGGGAAGGCGGTTGCGCACCTCCCGCCACACCATGTCCACCGCATCGCCTGCCCTTGCTGGTTGCTGTTGGGGTTATGAGGACAGGCATGGGAACAGGCGTGGGAACAGGCAATGGAACAGGCATGGGAACAGGCATGGGAACAGGCATGGGAACAGGCACCTCCCGCCACACCATGTCCACCGCATCACCTGCCCTTGCTGGTTGCTGTGGAGTTATAAGGACAGGCGTGGGAACAGGCAATGGAACAGGCGTGGGAACAAGCATGGGAACAGGCACCTCCTGCCACACCATGTCCACTGCATCACCTGCTCGTGCTGGTTGCTTGATGTTAGCCTTGGGGACAGGCATGGCTACAGGCGTGGGGACAGGCACGGGGACAGGCACGGGGACAGGCATGGCTACAGGCGTGGGGACAGGCACGGGGACAGGCATGGCTACAGTCGTGGGGACAGACATTGTTGCAGGTATGGAAGTTACAGGAACAGAAACAGGCATAATCACAGGTACGTTAACAAGCACAGTAACATACCTGGAACTCAAAGTGCTTCTGCACTTGATGCACCCGGTGCCACATCGCCAGCCAATCCTGCTCCGACACCTGGCGGAGCGCAGAGACCAGGCGGCCTTTGACTAGGGCGTCCTGACGAGGGAAGGGACAGCATTGGGAGACAATAGAATAAAACATAAAATAGTGGAAAGAACGATAGGTTGTGGGCAATTTTACCAAAGAACACACAATATGGACTCCTGGAGGAGAAGAAGACAACACGTATGCTCTGGTTGGGTCAACAAGAAGTAGAGATCATGATGCGTTTCTCACATGCACCTCCTGGGAGAAGAAGTGCTCCAGGCTGGAGTAGTCAGTGACAGATTCAAAGTGGCAGTGGCAGTGGCAGTGACAGTCCTCTCCCTTCTGAAGGCTCATCTCTTGAGAGAAGAATAGTGCAAGTTGTGAGTCGTCGATGGCGGACTTAAAGGGCAGCTCCACGTGATCGCTGACGACGACGGGCACACACCCACTCATGATGGCGTTGAAGAAACGAGAGGAGGCACGCACGCAGCCACTGCTCTCCCTTTTGAATGCTCACCTCTTGAGAGAAGAAGAGCGCAAGTCGTGAGTAGTCGATGGCGGACTCGAAGGGCAGCTCCACGTGGTCGCTGACGACGACGGGCACACACCCACTCATGATGGTGTTGAAGAAACGAGAGGAGGCACGCACGCAGCCACTGCTCTCCCTTTTGAATGTTCACCTCTTGAGAGAAGAAGAGCGCAAGTCGTGAGTAGTCGATGGCGGACTCGAAGGGCAGCTCCACGTGGTCGCTGACGACGACAGGCACACAGCCACTCATGATGGCGTTGAAGAACCGCGAGGAGGACGGCGTGTCTCCCTCCACGTGCAGACAGAAGCGTGATCGCCGCATGCCCTCCTGGGACTGTGGGTTTCGGGTTTGAGGTTTTAGGGTTAAGAGGAAGAGGGAGAAGGAGAGGGAGGGATTGACAGACGGAAGAGTGGAGAGTAGGAGCTTGATTGGAGGGGGGGGTGTGGTGTGTTGCCCTTCACGTGCAGACAGAAGCGCGACCGCTGCATGCCCTCATGGGACTGTGGTCAAAGGAGGGAGAAGAGGTGGAAGGGACAGTCACGAAGAGTGGCGCATGAATGCTTGGAGTCTGGAGTGGAAAGAAGGAGAGGGTTATAAGGGTTTTGCCCTCCACGTGCAGTCAGAAGCATGCCTGCTGCATGCCCTCTGGGGACTGAGGAGGGTGTCATATATAATAGAGTGGTCATTCAGAATGTGGAGTTGGTGGAAAGAGGAAGGGCAGGTGTGCGCACGACACTAGGCCAAAGGTGCACCGCATGTTGCCAAATGTGAATGAAACGAGGCAGAACGAGCGTGCATGATAGAAGCACTCACATCGCGTATTGACTGGCTGGACCCTGAAGCCTCCCTCACATGCACGTCCGACTCCCCCTGTAGCTCGTCAAATAGAGCCTTGCGCCGCTGAGGGGGGGAGGAGGGGAGATGAGTATTGAAAAGAAGGCAGAGAACAATAAGGGGGAATTGTGGATAGGCAGCTTTCCTCACATGCACGTCCGCCTCCCCCTGTAGCTCGTCGAATAGAGCCTTGCGCCGCTGTAAGGGGGGATGGGAGAGGAGAGAGGGCAGGCAGAGAGCCAGAAGATGGGAGGAGAGGCAGCCTCCATCACATGCAAATCGCACCCCACCCTGTAACCACGCACCCCACCCTGTAACCACGCACCCCACCCTGTAACCACGCACCCCACCCTGTAACCACGCACCCCACCCTGTAACCACGCACCCCACCCTGTAACCACGCACCCCACCCTGTAACCACGCACCCCACCCTGTAACCACGCACCCCACCCTGTAACCACGCACCCCACCCTGTAACCACGCACCCCACCCTGTAACCACGCACCCCACCCTGTAACCACGCACCCCACCCTGTAACCACGCACCCCACCCTGTAACCACGCACCCCACCCTGTAACCACGCACCCCACCCTGTAACCACGCACCCCACCCTGTAACCACGCACCCCACCCTGTAACCACGCACCCCACCCTGTAACCACGCACCCCACCCTGTAACCACGCACCCCACCCTGTAACCACGCACCCCACCCTGTAACCACGCACCCCACCCTGTAACCACGCACCCCACCCTGTAACCACGCACCCCACCCTGTAACCACGCACCCCACCCTGTAACCACGCACCCCACCCTGTAACCACGCACCCCACCCTGTAACCACGCACCCCACCCTGTAACCACGCACCCCACCCTGTAACCACGCACCCCACCCTGTAACCACGCACCCCACCCTGTAACCACGCACCCCACCCTGTAACCACGCACCCCACCCTGTAACCACGCACCCCACCCTGTAACCACGCACCCCACCCTGTAACCACGCACCCCACCCTGTAACCACGCACCCCACCCTGTAACCACGCACCCCACCCTGTAACCACGCACCCCACCCTGTAACCACGCACCCCACCCTGTAACCACGCACCCCACCCTGTAACCACGCACCCCACCCTGTAACCACGCACCCCACCCTGTAACCACGCACCCCACCCTGTAACCACGCACCCCACCCTGTAACCACGCACCCCACCCTGTAACCACGCACCCCACCCTGTAACCACGCACCCCACCCTGTAACCACGCACCCCACCCTGTAACCACGCACCCCACCCTGTAACCACGCACCCCACCCTGTAACCACGCACCCCACCCTGTAACCACGCACCCCACCCTGTAACCACGCACCCCACCCTGTAACCACGCACCCCACCCTGTAACCACGCACCCCACCCTGTAACCACGCACCCCACCCTGTAACCACGCACCCCACCCTGTAACCCACAACCCACCCTGTAACCACGCACCCCACCCTGTAACCACGCACCCCACCCTGTAACCACGCACCCCACCCTGTAACCACGCACCCCACCCTGTAACCACGCACCCCACCCTGTAACCACGCACCCCACCCTGTAACCACGCACCCCACCCTGTAACCACGCACCCCACCCTGTAACCACGCACCCCACCCTGTAACCACGCACCCCACCCTGTAACCACGCACCCCACCCTGTAACCACGCACCCCACCCTGTAACCACGCACCCCACCCTGTAACCACGCACCCCACCCTGTAACCACGCACCCCACCCTGTAACCACGCACCCCACCCTGTAACCACGCACCCCACCCTGTAACCACGCACCCCACCCTGTAACCACGCACCCCACCCTGTAACCACGCACCCCACCCTGTAACCACGCACCCCACCCTGTAACCACGCACCCCACCCTGTAACCACGCACCCCACCCTGTAACCACGCACCCCACCCTGTAACCACGCACCCCACCCTGTAACCACGCACCCCACCCTGTAACCACACAACCCACCCTGTAACCACGCACCCCACCCTGTAACCACGCACCCCACCCTGTAACCACGCACCCCACCCTGTAACCACGCACCCCACCCTGTAACCACGCACCCCACCCTGTAACCACGCACCCCACCCTGTAACCACGCACCCCACCCTGTAACCACGCACCCCACCCTGTAACCACGCACCCCACCCTGTAACCACGCACCCCACCCTGTAACCACGCACCCCACCCTGTAACCACGCACCCCACCCTGTAACCACGCACCCCACCCTGTAACCACGCACCCCACCCTGTAACCACGCACCCCACCCTGTAACCACGCACCCCACCCTGTAACCACGCACCCCACCCTGTAACCACGCACCCCACCCTGTAACCACGCACCCCACCCTGTAACCACGCACCCCACCCTGTAACCACGCACCCCACCCTGTAACCACGCACCCCACCCTGTAACCACGCACCCCACCCTGTAACCACGCACCCCACCCTGTAACCACGCACCCCACCCTGTAACCACGCACCCCACCCTGTAACCACGCACCCCACCCTGTAACCACGCACCCCACCCTGTAACCACGCACCCCACCCTGTAACCACGCACCCCACCCTGTAACCACGCACCCCACCCTGTAACCACACAACCCACCCTGTAACCACGCACCCCACCCTGTAACCACGCACCCCACCCTGTAACCACGCACCCCACCCTGTAACCACGCACCCCACCCTGTAACCACGCACCCCACCCTGTAACCACGCACCCCACCCTGTAACCACGCACCCCACCCTGTAACCACGCACCCCACCCTGTAACCACGCACCCCACCCTGTAACCACGCACCCCACCCTGTAACCACGCACCCCACCCTGTAACCACGCACCCCACCCTGTACAACCACGCACCCCCGTTGTCCCCACGCACTCACATCCTTGCGTTGCAGAGTGCCCTGAAAGTAGAGCAGTGTGGTGCGCCCTGCAAACACACCCGCATCCGCCCTTCCTGTAACCACAGCAGCAGCAGCAGCACCACCACCAGATCCCACTCCACTCCTTGCTGCTACTGCCTCCCCTCCAGTCCCCTGTCCTTCCCTCTCACTACTATCACCCTCCTCCTCCTCACTCGCAGGCTCGCCTTCCTCCCCATCCTTTCCAGCCTTCCCCTTCCCGTCCTTCTCATTGCCGCCTCCTTCCTCTTCCTCACTCTCCGCCTCCGTCGTCTCTGATTCCCCCTTTTGAGACGTCTCAAAAGTCGTCTCTGATTCCCCTGTGCCCACAAGCCGTCTCCGCTCACCCACCAACCGAGATGACTTTTGAGTCGACTCAAAAGTCAACTCCGTCGTCTCTGATTCCCCCATGCCCACAAGCCATCGCCGCTCACCCACCAACCGCCTCCTCTCTCCCTCCCCATTGCCATCCTCCTCCTCCTCCTCTTTTCCCCCCCTCCCTTTCCCTTTCCCCTTCCCCTTTTGCTTCTCCTCCTCCTCAGCATCTTCCCCATCCTCTTTTTCCACCTTTTCCCCCTTTTCCCCTTTCCCTTTCCTCCTCTTTTCCTCCTCCTCACCCTCCTCCACCTCCTCCTCTTCCTCCTCCCTCGTCCCCTTCCTGTTCCCCTTCCCCTTCTCCTTCTCCTCCTCACCCTCTTCCTCTCCCCCCTCCTCCTGCACTGCTCCTTCCCTGCTATCCCTGATCCCCTCTCTATCTACCTCCTCCTCCCCTCCCTCCCTGTCTCCACCCCCATCCCTCCCCTTCCCCAGGCGGCGCCCAGCCTCAGCTTCAGCTTCGGCTACCGCTGCCACACCTCCCCCCCTGCCTCCTCCTGCAAGCCCCCCTTGAGCGTCCCGCCTCTCGGCCTCTGCAGTGTAAGTCTCCACCAGCGCCCCGTAAGGTGCTATGATGTCCTTGTGCAGATCTGCCTCCCCTGGTTCGTATCTGAAGTGGGGCCAGGTGGGCGTCAATGGGGGGAAGAGACGTTAGCCCCTTACGGTGCTATGATGTCCTTGTGCAGGTTCGCCACCCCTGGTTCGTACCTGGATTAGGGGCAGGGAGGAAAACAAGGGTGAAATGCGGGGAGGTGAGCTTGGCCCCGTATGGTGCTATGATGTCCTTGTGCAGATCCGCCTCCCCCGGTTCGTACCTGGGTTAGGGGCAGGGTGTGCAGAGCAGGAGTGTACCGGGGGAGGTGAGGTTGGTTCAGCAGGTCCGCCTCCCCTGTACAGCAGGCACGTGCGCCCCCTCTCACCCAGCTACCCTACCCCTGCTGCCCTTCCACCCATCTTGCACCTGCTCCCACTCCTCACCCACCTGGCGAGGTCAACAGCGCTTAAGGGAGCAGCAGCCACGTGGTGGCGCATGGTTTCAAGGCTGCCCTCTGGCGCTCCTCCTCCTCTTCCTTCCACCCATCCTACCTCTGCTCCCTCCTCCTGACTCGCCTGGCGAGGTCCACAGCAACAAAGGCAGCGGCGGCCATGTAATGCCGCACGGACTCGAGGGCGTTCGGGTGGGGGTTCCCTTACTTCAACCCGAATCCTTTGCCTATACTTCACATGTTCCCCACCTGGCGAGGTCCACAGCAACGAAGGCAGCGGCAGCCATGTAGTGCAGCACTAACTCGAGGGCGTTGGGGTGGGTGGTCCCTTACTAAGAACGAATCCTTTGCCTGTGCCTCTCATGTTCCCCACCTGGCGAGGTCCACTGCAATGAAGGCAGCGGCAGCCATGTAGTGCCGCACTAGCTCGAGGGCGTTGGGGTGGGTGACGCACAGCACGTGGTCCCTTCCTCCCCGCCGCTGCCACCAAGGGGACGCGCTCATCAGCTCGGCCATCTCCATCTGGTGGAATGCAGTGCGGTGGGTTACAGTGGGGTGAGGTGGGATGAGGTGGGGTGTGGCAGGGTGAGGTGGGTGGGAGGGTATAGTTGTTGACGCCTCAAGCATGGGTGACGCACAGCACGTGGTCCCTTCCTCCTCTGCGCTGCCACCAGGGGGACGCGCTCATCAGCTCCGCCATCTCCATCTGGTGAGGTGCGGTGAGGTGCGGTGGGGTGGGCAAGGTGGGGTGAGGTGGGTGAGCGAGAGGAGGGATGAGGGGGTAACAGGTTGATGATGGTGGACGCGAAGAAGGACACTGTAACCACGATACGTTTATAACGAGCACAAAGTGTTGGAGATGAGTGCACACAAAAAGAACGAACTGCGAGAGCCTTGCAGGTAGGTGGGGAAGTTACTCCGCCTAAGCAGGCTAACCATGGTGGAGGTGAAGAAGGGCACGATAACCACAACATGTCTATAACGGGGACGTAGTGCTGGGTGGGGATGAGAGCACACAAAAGAACGCACAGCCAGAGCCTTGTAGGTGGGGAAGTTCTTCCGCCGGAGCAGGTTGACCATGGTGGAGGCGAAGAAGGGCACGAGAAACACGTCCGCCTGTGTGGGGTCGCTCACCCTCACTGCCGCCACTCCTGGGTCTCTCTTCTGTTGGTGCGCGGGAGGGGAGAGAGCAGAGGGAGGGAATGCACAGGGTTACACTGAAAAAGAAACTCGTCCGCCTGTGTGGGGTCGCTCACCCTCACTGCTGCTACTCCTGGGTCTCTCTTCTGTTGATGTGTGTGGGGGAGAGAGCAGAGGGAGGGAAGAGCAGAGGGAGGGGAGAGCAGAGGGAGGGGAGAGCAGAGGGAGGGGAGAGCAGAGGGAAGGGAGAACAGAGGGAGAGGAGGCAGAACAGAGGGAGGGGAGAACAGAGGGAGGGGAGAACAGAGGGAGGGGAGAACAGAGGGAGGGGAGAACAGAGGGAGGGGAGAACAGAGGGAGGGGAGAACAGAGGGAGGGGAGAACAGAGGGGGGGAGAACAGAGGGAGGGATGAGCAAGGGGGGGGCACGAAGAGGGAGGGGAGAGCAGGGGGGGAGGGGCGAGGCTACATTATCCGAGAAACACCCAGGGGGGGCACAGCCTGTCCCATGGACGTACAGTGGGGGCATGCAGCATGTCATGTGATATCACGCCATGTCATGTCTCGCCATGTGTCGTATCATCTGCAGACATACCGAGGGCGGTTGCAGCAGGTCGGCGACGAGGAAGTACTCGAGGCTGTGCTGCCACGCCGTGGGGTGCACGTCGCCGCCCGCCGGCCACCCCCACGGCGGGATGGGCGGTTCGTCCATGCTGGCGTTCGTGCGCTGCTCCTGCCGCGTCTTCCACTTGGGCTCCATCAGCCCCAGATTCATCCGACGTGGCAGCTCGTGCACATACACGCGCACCCGCCCGTCCCAGCACTGCTCGCCCTCACCATCTGCATTGCGTTTATTCTCGTTGTTGGGTTCGTTGGTGGTGCTCCTATCGGAAAGAGTAATTTCGCTATCACGTTCGCTAGGACTCGGTTCTGTCGTCCGTCCGTCAACCTGATCGCCGTCCTCCTGAATGGCAACCTGGATATTGCTCGCCTTCCCGTGAGTTTCCCGCAGTGCGACATCGGACGGCGGAGGGAGAGCTGCTGAAGCATCGGACAGTGGAGGAAGCTTTGAGAGAGCGGTGGGGGGGGATGCCTCGAAGAGGTCCTCTACTCGCGCGATCTCCGCTGGCTGACGGGTGACGAGCAGCAGGGCGACTCCCAGGAAGAGTGCGACGGGGAATGCGACGATTCGCGGAACCTTTTGTCGCATGAGCCGGACGACGGCCCCATCCATGGGGCGAGCCTGGCGTCGCCTCGTCGCTCTAGCGTGAAAACTACACACAGTACTAAAGTACGATTTCCACTGGCATTGTGAGAAGGGCTAACAGAGCCAAGGCTGTCAGGTCAGATTGCCAGAACGATGTTGCCATCCGCGAAGCCTTAACGTGGACTATACAAGGAGAGTCGTGAAAAGGCGAAAGCTCAGAGATTCGAAACGTTTATACGGGGAAATGAACGCCGCAGCCTCTCTCTGCAACCGTGGAAAGCGATACGGGCAAGGAGCCACTAGTGAAGTACTTCGATGTTTAGCCAGAGTGGAGGTGATTCACTGAGCAACCTTGATCTTGCAGAGTGAATAAGAGCCAGATTGCAGATCACCAGTGGCACAGCCGCACAGCAAACTTAGTGCTTTACAAGGCTTCTCGTTTTCCGTTTCAGAAGGATGAATTTCCCATGTATGGTGAGACAATATTGGTGTAGCGAGCCCCGCACGCGAAAGGTGGGAGGGGTGGGGCTGATGACATCTGTCAGACATTTGATTTTTCTTTCGCGCTCAAATACGCAGCGCTTGCAAATATTTGAATTTCTGCAGCGACTCGTTTTCCCCACTGCAGCAGACCGCGGCGCGCCAGTCATAATTTAGGGAATTCCATGAACCAGACCAGACCCTCTCTCTTCCTCCCTACCTCGCTTGTCTGTGGCAGCAGCACCCTCCCTCGACTTCTCTTCCCTTCTCGCACTCACAGATCTAAGCCTTCGTCTTGGTTCCACGTCTCCACCACACCGTAGCTATCGAGCCCGCTGTTTCCATCTGTAGAATTTTAGTCTTCTCGCTTCGGTAGTCTCGCTGAGTAAGCTAGGTTAGTATTCTCCTTGACTACGTCAGATCTATCCAGTGAGTTCTCTGTGCTGTCTCCACGGTATATATAATTGCTCGCCCCACTTTCTCTAGTCATTACCTAGCCACTAAGCTCCGCGTCATAGCTTTTAACAATGGCTACCGTATCAGCAAAGCGCAGTGGTCGGAGACCTGGCAGACGGCAGAACAAGCTCTCCTCCTCCTCCCGCTTCAACGACGAAAACGCCTACCCCTATTCCCCATCTCTCTCGAAGCCTTCCCCCTCTCTTCTCGCTGACGTCACCACCCCCGCGCTTCCACTACCCGTGGAAACCGTAACCGGCAGCGAGGAGGTGCATCCGGTGGGCCTCGCGGCAGTCACGCAATGGTTTGACGGCTCCGTCAAGTCGTTCTACCCGCCAACCGGCAGATCCGCCGTCCGATCTGCGCTACAGGACTTTTCCGACAATTCCTTTTTTTCCTTCCCGTCGGGAAAATCAGCCGCTATGCCCGCGCTTGCAGTGAAGAGCAATAACGAGAGCAACCGGCGTAACACGTCAGTGCCTGCAGTTGCGGTCCCTCCGCAAAGCACGCAATCCCTAGTCGAAGTGTTACCGCCGAACACGCTCAAGGCAACTGAGCTCGTGCCTTCCGTACCTATCGTGCCGCCGCGACTCTCCGCGTCCGTCCGTCAGTCTATTTCTGGCGCTCCTCCGTTTCTCGCAAATTACACCAGTTCGTCTGCCGTCGGACTCGGTTCCGCTCCGTCATCTCGACGGACTTCGTTAAGCTTCGCTGGCAGCGTTGACGGCAGCGTCTCCTCGTCGTCCGCAGCTTTGGCGTTTCCGCCCCCGTCGCGAACTAGCCAGCGGCGGACCTCCGCCCTGGCGGAAAGCGCGGGGGATTTTTCCGCCATGCTGCCGGACGAGCGGGAGTTTCTTGCGGACGTGGCGGAGTTCCACGGACTCCCCGCGCGCGCGTCGCTGCAGTCTTTACCGCCTTTGGCGGAAAGCTTTCCGCCACAGCCTCGGCAGCTGCAGAACGGAGCAGGGAGGCGAGTGAGCCTGGCGTGGATGTCGCTTGACGGACAGTTGAAGAACGTGGAAGCGTTGACGGAAAGCGTCGGAGCTAGCGGCGTGTTGACGGAAGACGAACGGCAATCCTGGCTGAGCATCCCGCCCGTCTACGTGAGCGCCTTGACTAACCCAACTTCATTCTGTGCGTCGTTGAACCTCGCGAAAGCATCAGTTCATAAACTCGTGAAGCAGTGTGCTGCATGTACCAACCTACTGCGCTGCTCTTGTACTTTACAACCCGTGGGTATCTCAGGATGGAACCATTGTCAAGGTTGCTTTGTTGTTTTTCTCTCTCTCCCTCCTCCCTCCGCAGCGCGCGTTGATCCTCACGATGACGTGGAAGGCGGTATCGACGGCCAGGACGCAGATGAAGCGGGAGTTTGCGCGGATCCGCAAGTTGATACGCGCAAAGGACGCGGATGCGCGCTCTTTGCGCAAGAAGCTCGTCGCCTTGCGATCGCAGCAGCCCAAATCCGTCGTCTCGTCGCCCGTCGCCAGCCCGTCGTCGGGCGTCGCACGAGTCGCAGAAGATGGCCCTAGTCCCGCGAAAGTGAGCGGTGATAATTCGCAGGTAGGTGCTGTCGCAGACGCTCGTTGTTGTCATCTTGGCGAGGGTAAGGAGCCGTTATGCTTGCATCAGACGCAAATTCTCTTCGTTATGTCTTCGTTAGAATGCTATTTGTATCCATTTCGATCATCAATTCTTGCTCCTTCCTTCGTACTTCGTCTTCCTCTTTGCATCCTTCAGATGCAACAGCTACTGCAGGCCAAGGACCTCGAACTGAAACTGTTGGAGGAACAGTTGAAACGCGTGGAGATGGAACGGGATGAGATGGGTGGGAAGATGAAACGGGCTGCTGCGGAGATGCAACGGATGGAGGAGCAGTTGAAACGCAAGGAGGAACGTATAGAAAGCATGGGTGAGGAGATGAAACGGGGGAACGAGGGGCAAGAGCAGGCGGTGATGGAGATGAAACGCATGGAGGCGGAAATGAAACGGATGGCGGGGGAGATGAAACGCTCGGAGGGGCGGTGCGAGGAGGTAGAGGCGTCGCGAGCCGCGACTCAGGAGGCTCTGACCAGTGCCGTTGCTTCGAACTCCGCGCTGAAGGTGAGACAAATGAATGTGATTGTAACAGCTCCTCCTCCGTTATTTGACGTTATGTACATAATTCGAATCCGATTGCTCCGCAGCATGTTGATGTGGCATGCACCCCCCCTCTGCTCGTCAATGTATTTGAATTCGCGTCTATCGCCAAAGCGCGTCTTTCCGCCAATGCGCGCCTCCCTCGTCGCCCCACAGGACCTGATGGCGCTGCAGGCGGCACACATCGCGGAGCTCAAAGCCCTCGTTCTTGGTCAGACGGAGGCCATTCAGGAGCTGACACGTGGCAGCGCGGCAGTGAATGGCACAGATGCGGGGAGGCCAGTCGGGGAAGAGGAGGAGGAGAAGGGGGACGAGGAGGAAGGGGAGGAGAAGGCGGAAGAGAAGGAGGAGGAGGCGGAGAAGGCGGACAATGGGAGGAGCGCGGAGATGGAGGAATTGATGGCGATGGTGAGCTGATTTGGCCGCATTGTACCATTACTATACCATTGCAAATGCCATGCCATGCCATGCCTTGGTACCATGCCTTGTGTTCTCACGTTGTCACTTTCATCTGAACTTCACCGTTCCTTCGTACGCTCCTTTCACTTTTCCATTTTCACCTCCCCCTACCCGTTCCTCGTACACTCTCTCCCCCGCACCAACCCCTTTTCCCCCCAGCTGTCCCACCAGTCCGCGGAGATCTCCGCCCTCAGTCTCGCGGTGCAGGCATCTACCTCCGCCCTCCGCCGCACCCCCTCGCCCTCCGCGTCCCCTTCCGCCTCCCCCGAGCCCAACACCCCCCTCACGGCAAAACTCGCCGTATCCGCAGGGGAAGGGGCAGGCGCACGCGCGGACGCACCCGCGGAGCCGGGGCTGTGGCGGATGGGGCTCCCCCTGCTGGGGTCGCCCGTGGGATTGACGCCCTCTCCCCCGGGCAGGGGGGAGATGAGGGTGGTTGCGCGGATCAGGGGGAACGTGTATGGCGCAGTGCCCAAGTACGGGGGCGCGGGGACGGATGGGGCGCGCGCGTGGGGGAAGATGGGGACGGTTGAGGAGGAAGGGCGGGGAGTGGCGATCTGTGGCGGTGGCAGTGCTGGTGGCAGTGCTGGTGGCAATGGTGGTGGTGCTGGTAACACTTGTAACACTGCTTACAGTGTTGTTGATGTTAGCTCTGGCGCTGGTGGTGGCGACAGTGCCGTTGGGGGAAGAACCAGCAGTTGCAGTGTTAATGGTGCTGCGGCATTGGGCGGGGTAAGGAAGCTGTCTCTGGGGATAGGGAGGAACGGGAGAGTTTCCGAAGTGGTGCCGCTGCTCGCCCTGCCACTTGGCCGAGCCTCTGTTGACCCCGTTGACCCCGTTGACCCTGTTGACTGTGAAGTGGAGGATGGAGAAAGGAAGGATGGCTGTGGTTGCGCAGAGGGAGGGAAGGAGAATGCGGAGGTAGATGAGGGAGAGGGAGAGGGAGGAGAGGAGGAGTATGAGGAGGTACAGCAGTTCTTCTCCGCCCCTGCCTCCCCCTATGCCTCCCTGCCCTCCACCCCCACTGCTGCTGCTGCTGCTGCTGCTGCTGCTGCTGTCGTGGCTTCGACTGATGGGAGTGTCGTTCCGATGACGAGCGACATGCATGCAGGGGAGGGCGAGGAAGTGAAGGAAAGGGAAGAGGAGGAGGAGCAGCAGAGGGGGGCGGAACAGAAGGGGCAGAAGGAGAGTGGGAAGGGGAGGGAGAGTGACGGCAGTGGGAACATATTCCGAGTGGGGGGGGTTTTCAACCACGGAACCACCACCAGCAGCACCGCCACCGCAGAAAAGGCTCGGACGGCTGCCAAGCCCAAGTCAGGTCTGGTACCTCCAGGCTCGGTATCAAGCAGCAGGCTTGGAAGACTGGTTCGGGCCGAGTCTCAGCCGCAAGGGAGGGCGGGGAGCAGGAAGCTATCTATGGAGTGTGGTGGGGGTGGGGCGAGGGAGAGAGGGGAGGGAGTGCGGGGGAAAGGGCTGAGGGCGAGTGTGGAGGAAGGAGGGATGGTGAGGAGCAGGAGTGAGAGAACTCCTTTTACCGGTCCGCATGCTCCCCCCAACACTCCTGATGCTTCTACTGTGCGAGTGCAACGAGGCGGGAAGGCGGGAGGGGGTGAGGGTGTGGAGGGGCGAGCGTTGAGGGAGACTGGAGTTAACAGCAGGGGCGGCGAGGGGGAGAGGGCGGCGGGCAAGGGAGTGCGGAGTGGGGTTGCGCCAAGATGGAAGTACTGAGGGGGCTGCGGGTGAGGGGGATGGTCATGAGGAAGGGGAGGGAGGTGGGTATAGGAAGTTAGAAGGGCTGTGAGAAGGTCGGTAGTGTTGAGGAACGGTGGAGAGAAGAGGAGAGGAGGAGAAAGGGAGAGGTAAGGAGAGGAGGGAAGGTGAGGTGAAGGAGAGGGAGGAGAGGATGAGAGGTGTGAGGATAAGGAGGTAAGGTAAGGAGAAGGAGGTAAGGTGAGGGAAGGAGGAGAGGTGAAGGGGAGGAGGGGATGTGAATGAGAGGGGGAAAGTTGAGGGGAGGAGGAAAGGTGAGAATGGGAGGGGAGGTAATGCGAGGAGAGGAGGAGGTGATTTGAGGAGGGGAGCTGAGAGGAAAGGTAAGGAGAGGAGGTGAGGTGAGAGGAAATCTAAGGAGAGGGGAGGGAGGAGGAGAGGTAAGGAGACAAGGACAGGGGGGGGGATGTTTAAGGTGAGGGGAGGGGAGAGAGGAGAGGGGAGGAGAGGGGGGGAGAGGGGGGGAGGGAGTGGGGGGAGAGGGGGAGGGGGGGAGAGGAGAGGAGGAGAGGAGGAGAGGAGGAGAGGAGGAGAGGAGAGGAGAGGAGAGGAGAGGAGAGGAGAGGGGAGGAGAGGAGAGGAGAGGAGAGGGGAGGAGAGGGGAGGAGAGGGGAGGGGGAGTAGTGGTGAGTAGAGGTGAGAGGAGAGGAGAGGTGAGGTGAGGAGGGAGGGGGTAGTAGTGGTGAGTAGAGGTGAGGAGAGGAGAGGAGAGGTGAGGGAGGAGAGAAGTAGAGGAGAGGTGAGGTGAGGAGAGAAGTAGAGGCGGGGAGAGGTGAGGTGTGAGGTGTGAAGAGGAGAGGTGGGAGGGGAAGAAAGCTGCGGAGCAGGCGAGGGGCTAGTTTAGCAGGTGTGCTAGGCAGGTGTAAGTGGGTGAGCGAGTGCTGTGGGTTTCAGAGGCATGAGGGATGAGTGATAGGTAGGTACCAGTATGTGAATGGTATAGGGCAGCAGCGGTGTCGCCTGGAGATAGTGCAGGTAGCATAAGTTATAGTAGGTAGACAGAAGCTGGACTAGAGTGCAGGGCTTGGTTTTATGTTGCAGTTCATGCTCTGGCATTTTGCAGTGTGTAGATTTCATGTAGTGCTGTATAGTGTGCTCTCTCTATTCTTATTGTGCACTATTGTGCACAAGAAACACCTATCTACCTGCTTGGGATCTTGAGTAACGCATTCCTTCCCACCATAGCAGTACAGCCATCAGAGCACACACACAGAGCTCAGTGGATTACCTTGGCATGTGCGGCACAAGCCACTGCCAGCAGAGATTCTTCCTTTCCTTGCCTTGCTACAATCGATTGTCAGTTATTCGCTCAAGTTAGCTACACTAGTAACATCACAAGCAAGTGTCACAGTCAAGTGGCAAAAGCAGCTAGTGTCATGCTATTTGCACACATGCCAACCCAAAAATGAGCAGAGGCAGCCACTTAAAGTCACAGATCTTGGGTCACATGTCACATGATATGGTAACAGTTTTCCACCACGGCATTGCCACTTTGGGGTGCCTCAGAAGCACGGGCGTAGGCAGGTTGGAAATGGCCAGCACGGCAGTTAGACCTTGGAGTAGTCGGCACGGGCGTATGCATCCTCGGGGTAAAAGATAGCCACCACTGCATTGCCTCCGAACTTGCGCCCGTGCAGCGCTGCCTTGGCCTTGAGCGCTCCTGCTGTGTCGCCATACTCCACAAACACCTGTGGCGGGTGGGTCATGGAGGGGGGAGAGCCAAGGTAAGGTGGAAGGTGAAAAAAGGCGGAATCTCTGTTCTAGCTGCGGTTTCATCGACTCGAGCGAGCATGCATGAGGCAAAATGCGTGCAGATGGACTGTGGATGCAGTGCAGCGTACCTTGCCCACCCCAGGTGCTGTTGCGCCTGGTGCTGGCGGCCGGGGAATGACCACATTCACAAGCGAACCTGTTCAAAACGAGGACAGAGGGATGGCAGGGCAGCAAAGCACAGAGGAGGCGAAGCAGGAGACTCAACAAAAAGGTAATGGGTCATGGAAAGAGAGCGCAACCAATGCATGCACAGCAGCACACATGCACACGAGCGCATGAGCACATGTGACCATGTGGCATGTGATCCGTGGCACGAGCACATGGCAGACCTTGCCAGGCACAAGCACATGGCGGACCTTGCCAGGCACAAGCACATGGCGGACCTTGCGAGGCACAAGCACATGGCGGACCTTGCCAGGCACAAGCACATGGCGGACCTTGCGAGGCACAAGCACATGGCGGACCTTGCGAGGCACAAGCACATGGCGGACCTTGCCAGGCACGAGCACATGGCGGACCTTGCGAGGCACAAGCACATGGCGGACCTTGCAAGACAGACTGTCATTGGCGAGAGATTACTTATCAAGTCATGAGTCTACCAGCAGCGCAACAGGGGAACAATATGGTCGGAGTGGCTGACCGTATTTGGCGCACTCCTCTCGCATGTCCTCCATGATCTCATCGTAGTCCTCGTCGTTGGTGAGCTCATTTGGTGACACCACCTGCCAGCGCAACAACGGCGCAATGACAGGAAGAACGGGCAGCGATGGCATAAAGGCATGATGGCATCATGACACAGTGGGGGGGGGTGCAGCAGCCTGTACAAAAGCAGCAACCCTGGCGTGACCAAGAGTGAGTGAGTGAGTGAGCGAGTGAGGGAGTGAGTGAGGAGGCGAACCTGAGAGAGGCAGATGATTTTGGTGGGAATGTCAACAGCAGCCCCCGGCACAGCAGCAGCACCCAGCCCCACCGTGTTGGCTCCTGTCAGAGCCATGCGCTGGTGGCACAATGAGGGAGGTGGGGTGACAGTGAGGCGGAGTGGAAAGAGGAGTGGGTGAGAAAGAACAGGTGAAGGAGCGTGTAAAAATGTTTGGGAGAAGAAGAGTTAGTGAAAATGACCAGCGGAAGTGGGGGAACGGATAAACGTGAGGACGGTGAGGGGGAGCAGATGGACCCACGACAAGGCGATTTGCTGCTGAGCCTGCGCCAACACATTGGCTTGCTCGGGCTTGGCCTGGCCACTGCAGCGGCATAAGACGTGCCACAGACAACACAGAAGGAGAGGGACAAGACAACAAACACAGTGAGCAGCCGTTAGTGTGAAGTAACCAACAGTGCACCCACTTGAACGCTGCACGCCACCTGAACCATCTGGAATGGCACGTGAAAGGGCAGCAACCACAAGCTGTCAATACCAGAGAATATGTCACGCGGCACCAGGGAGCACCTGAGAGTACTAGGAGCACCTGAGAGCACTTGTGAACGCACCTGGCAGTAGCACGGCGCACGGTGAGCGTTTTGTCGCCCATCTTCATGCCGTTGAGTGCCATGCAGGCGATGTCCGTGACACTGGGGTCCTGGTACACACAGAAGCCATACCCCTTGCTGTTGCCCGTGTCCCTATCCTTCACCAGGTCAAACGCCCGTAGAGGACTGCAATGGGAGGGAGGACGGGGAAGGAGGGAGAGGAATGAATGGCAAGAGGGGAATGAATGGCAAGAGGGGAATGAATGGCAAGAGGGGAATGAATGGCAAGAGAGGAATGAATGGCAAGAGAGGAATGAATGGCAAGAGGGGAATGAATGGCAAGAGGGGAATGAATGGCAAGAGGGGAATGAATGGCAAGAGAGGAATGAATGGCAAGAGAGGAATGAATGGCAAGAGGGGAATGAATGGCAAGAGGGGAATGAATGGCAAGAGGGGAATGAATGGCAAGAGAGGAATGAATGGCAAGAGAGGAATGAATGGCAAGAGGGGAATGAATGGCAAGAGGGGAATGAATGGCAAGAGGGGAATGAATGGCAAGGGGGGAATGAATGGCAAGAGGGGAATGAATGGCAAGAGGGGAATGAATGGCAAGAGAGGAATGAATGGCAAGAGAGGAATGAATGGCAAGAGGGGAATGAATGGCGAGAGGGGAATGAATGGCGAGAGGGGAATGAATGGCAAGAGAGGAATGAATGGCAAGAGAGGAATGAATGGCAAGAGGGGAATGAATGGCAAGAGAGGAATGAATGGCAAGAGAGGAATGAATGGCAAGAGGGGAATGAATGGCAAGAGGGGAATGAATGGCAAGAGGGGAATGAATGGCAAGAGAGGAATGAATGGCAAGAGGGGAATGAATGGCAAGAGGGGAATGAATGGCAAGAGGGGAATGAATGGCAAGAGGGGAATGAATGGCAAGAGGGGAATGAATGGCAAGAGGGGAATGAATGGCAAGAGGGGAATGAATGGCAAGAGGGGAATGAATGGCAAGAGGGGAATGAATGGCAAGAGGGGAATGAATGGCAAGAGGGGAATGAATGGCAAGAGGGGAATGAATGGCAAGAGGGGAATGAATGGCAAGAGAGGAATGAATGGCAAGAGAGGAATGAATGGCAAGAGGGGAATGAATGGCAAGAGGGGAATGAATGGCAAGAGGGGAATGAATGGCAAGGGGGAAATGAATGAGGGGCGGGAGCGAGGAGAATGAAGGGCGGGATGGAGGGGAATGTGGGGCAGGGGGGAAACCTTTAATGTTCCAGTGTCCAGATCCTTCACCAGGCTAAGCACCCACAGAAGAGGCTGATGACTTGCATTGTGAGAGTGAATATGAGGAAGTAAACAGGACTTGGTTGCAATGGATGGCTCGCTGTGTTGCAGAGTGAGACTGACCCAAAGGAGGAGAGCAGCTCGCGAATCTGCTCCTCTGTAAGATAGTACGGCAGCCCACCCACAAAGATGCGATCTGGACCGTCCGCTCCGCCCGAGCCACTGCTGGGAGTGAGAGATGGCATGGGCAGGAAAGAGGCAAGGTGGTGAGAAGGAGAGCCAACGAAAAACGTGGGGTTGGAGATTTGAGACAAAAGAGGAAAAGCGAAAAGAGAACCTCGTAGTTGTGCCATGCACATTGTGCATCCAGAGCAACAACAGGAAGTTGTGAAACATCTAGGCTTTTAGGTGCCAAAGGAGGAAGGGTGGGAAAAAAAGGGAAGGCAACCCAGAGAATGGGAGGATGGGAGAGGGGTGGTTGACAGGGGGAGAGGTGGTGGTTGACAGGGGGAGAGGTGGTGAGAAACAAAGAAACAGACGGCAAGGACGATGGAACTGAGACTGGCATAATGGAATACGTACCCGGCAGTGAGGCCGACGGCAGCGAGGTTGAGGTTGGGGCTGGGCTGCGTGGGGCCGAGGGTGGCCGCCATTGAGGGGTTGTAATCGCTGGGCCGCCGCACCCTCACCGACACTCCCTGGTAGACACGAGAGGGGCATAGTGCAAGCGCAGATGCAATGAAAATCAAGGCTAGACGTTTACGGTGAAAGAAAGATGGGGGGCTCTAGGTGGATGTGCGACTCTGGCAATACAAGATTGGGAGCAGTGCACAGCATGGCACGGCACACAGCACGCACCTTGAAGTTGATGCCATCGAGTGCCATGGCGTTGCTGGCCTCCTTCACTGTGCGCACCACACCATGGGGTGTGTGCAGCACATGCTATGGTAAACACGCACCTCGAAGTTGATGCCATCGAGCGCCATGGCGTTGCTGGCCTCCTTCACTGTGCGCACCACACCATGGGGTGTGTGCAGCACATGCTATGGTAAACACGCACCTCGAAGTTGATGCCATCGAGCGCCATGGCGTTGCTGGCCTCCTCCACTGTGCGCATCTCCACGAAGGCGAACTTCTTCTCCTGGTTGATGTACACGTACACCACACAGTCGCCTGTGAGTATTGGGGGGGAAGGAAGGGTAGAAAGAGGGCAAGGGCAGTGAGGACAGGATGGCTAGCAAGTACGGCCATTGGGGAAGAGGGGGGAACGGGAAGCGAAAACGGTATGGGGGGGGAGAGGGGGAAGTAAGAAGACACAACATACCGAAATCGAGAGCACCAGCGGGAGTACACGGGTAATGGACGGCGGTGAAGCGGGGTTCATGGCTCGTGCGCAATCTTCGTCCTCTCTTGCATGCACTATGACGGGTTTCTCTTGATTGCTCGCCACATACCGCATACCTACTCCAAAGGTGGTGCCCCTTCCCATCCCCCCCCCCCCCCCCCCCCCCCCCCCCCCCCCCCCCCCCACAAATTCCGCAAGCAGCAGAATTGTACCTGGGGCAGCCGTGTTGCCCAACCCACCCCCCTCTCCTATTCCGCCCTCAGGTGCACCAGCGTACCTGGTCCGGCGGTGTTGCCATTGACGAGCGTCATGGCGTTGTTGAAGAACGCCGCCACACTCTGCACAGGACACGTGCGCGCGCACACACAGACATGGGGAGGGAGGACGGAGGGTGATGATGAAAAGGAAGGGATGCGACGAAAAGGAAGAGGAAGAGCGGGGAGGAGGAAGAGGAAGCGTGCAGAACGAGGGAGAAGTGAGTGAGAGAGCAAGGAACACATGGTGCTGTGCACGAGGACGAGTGACGAGGAAGAAACTGCTGATTACGAAAACAGCTCGTACCTGTTCGTTCGCCATGGGCGGGAGGCCGCCTACGTACACCCGGCGCGCGTGGCGAGTGGCTTGTGTTGGCATGCCTCCCTGATGGGGTCAGATGCAAGAAGAGAACGCAGAAAGAGGAAACAAAGGAAAGGCTTAACGCTGGCGGGAACACAGCCGACCAGCATATGATGGCTGAGGAGCGACTGGAGGAGGCAGAACGAGAGGGACAAGGGAGGAAACAAGAGGAGAGAGAGAAGGCGTGGAGAGGTGCTGCAGCGCGCCATCAGGGGTGATAAAAGTCGTCAGAGACTCGTGGCTCTGTCCGCATCAAGTCACAAGCATCATGCGGCACTGCAGCAGCACAAGGGCGCACGCCATCCATGCACAACGAGGCAACCAATCAACGATTACTGCTCTGCGCACCATAACGACTCAATCACCGTGATAAACGGCGATGCCTCACATGCAGTAACTAAACAGCCTCAACTAAAAGCTCTGAGTGGAACAAGTGCTGGGGGAAGCTGACAAGCAGTGGCAGCTTAGCGGGCCATCAGATGTGTGTGAAACGAGTGTCAGAGATTTGTGGCTCTGTCCGCATCAAGTCACAAAGCATCATGCGGCCGCCTGGGAACGACTCATCACAACTAGAGCGCAACAGCTTATCCTCTACATACAGCCACGGGTGCAACGGCACGTTCAGGCAACATCTGCGACACTGGTGACCATCAGCAGTGATCGGTTGTCAGAGATTAAAGGCTCTGTCCGCATCAAGTCACAACGCATCATGTGGCCGGCCAGCAGAAGGTACGCCTCATACGAAGCAAACCCTATCCCGTATCAGTAGTACCACGGAAGAAGAAAAACCAGCAAACATCTCGGAAAGAGAAGGAAACGACGAAGCAGTGCAGCAGTGGGCGGGGCCATCAGGAGTGAAACGGGTGTCAGAGACTCGTGGCTCTGTCCGCATCAAGTCACAAGCATCATGCGGCCGCCTGGCACCTGGTTTATCAGCAGGCAGCTCAGCGCAACACGCCATTGCGTGTCTACCTTTGAGCGCCACTGCCATCACAAGCACCAGAGGGCAATTAACAATATACGTGGTTGCCATGCCAGTTCTTACCTGTGCAGCGGCAGCGGCGAAGGGGAACATGTTGGGGAACATGGATCCGGGAACTGCTTGCATGCCTGGCAGCCCTGTGAATCCTGCAGCCATGGCGCCTGGGGGGCGACGGGCACAAAACACGGAGCAAGCAAAGACAGAAGATACAGAGTTGTATTCGCTGGCGCACGATAGTCCCTTCCAACATGGTGCGTGAAAGAGAAGCAAATACAATGACACTGTGGGTCGAGAGCAGAGCGAGCACCATGGGAGGGGAGGAGCAGCAGTGGAGGCAAGGACCAGCACGCAGATAGAAATCCCCTGAAACACCAAAAATTTCCTCCAGGAATGCACTGGCCCGCTTGCCCTGCTGCCTTACCAGCGACGCCCGTGAGAGGCAGCGTCCCTACAGAAGGCGCAGCAGCCGCAGGCGCTGCTGCTGCTGGTGCTGGCGCTGTTGCCGGCGCCGCTCCCCCGGCTCCAGGAATCAGGCCTGCTCACGGATACGTTACAGCATGCCCCGATAACAGGGCAACCATACATCAAAAGCGAAACGTGGTACGATGCATGGGGGGAATGAGAATAAGGACGGATGTGGATGAAACGGAAACACTCCCAACAGAACGCAAATAAAATTCATGAACCAATCCGGCACGTGATAAGGATCACTTTACGAAAAACATATACTCCCTCTACCATCCCCACCCTTCCAACGAAAAGGCAGTGATCCTCCCAATTCCGAGGCCACCAAGTCAAGCTGAGGTATGGGGGATTTACCCTTTAAATCATCGTGCTAATGCGAAGCGAGAAGCAGCGGCGGAGGGAGGAGGGGGGAGAGTGAGAGGTGGCGCGGGCCGGCTTGGGGTGATCATCGAAGTGAAGCGGTTAGGAGGTGGAAGGGTTTAAAAGCGGCCCAGAAACACACACACAGCCGAACGAGCAACCAAGCAGCAAGAGAAGAGGGAAGGGAAAAGGAGAAGGAGACACACACGGCAACAACCACCACAGCAGACAACGACAACCGAGCCACGGCAGTGAGTCCGCGTGAAATACTACGAGAGAAACCGGCAACTGGACAGCCAAGGTAAAGTGGCGGCAGAGGTTGATGATGAGGCGGTTAGGGGCGGGTGTGGGGGCGTACCTGCTAGCCCCGGCACGGCTGCAAGAGATGGCCCCGGACCCATGTCGAACCCGCTGGCGCGTCTGCGTCTCTCCCTGTCTCGGGAGCGGGAGCGCGAGCGCGACCTTGAATACGAGCGAGACCGCGATCGAGAGCGATCACGACGCCTGCTGCGCCTGCCATAGCCGATTCAGAATCAAATTCAAAGAGGAAATAAAACTGAAGCAACGATATGAATCAAGAGAATTAAAGAGTACGAATACGAAAAATGTTGCATGGCAGGCACAAAAATTTATCAAATAAGGCGCAAAAAGGGAGCACGACCGATGTGGACAACGCGGAAACGAAACCTCGCGGATGAAAGAAAGAGCGTAAAAAACAACCTATCGCGGTCGCGGTCGCGGTCGCGGTCCCTGTGGCGGTAGTCTCGGTCTCTGTCCCTGCGATGGCTTCGGTCCCTGTCGCGATAGTCGCGGTCGTCGCGATAGTCGCGATCCCTGTCCCTGTCCCCGCTTCCTCTGCCACGGTCCGAGTGCCGCCGCTCGCGGCTCACGCGGTCGCGGTCCCTGTGTCTGTCGCGGTCGACGTCCCTCTCCCCGCCTTCCTCGTCGTCTTCCTCGTCCTCCTCGCTCCCCTCCTCCTCGTCCTTGGCCCCGCCCCTGCCTCTGTCGCGGTCTCCTCGTGAGCGTCTGGCGCGCTCTGGACCCCTGTCGTCGTACGATGGCTGCGAAATGGGAACGACGGGATGCGACAGTGCGACTTATTATGTTGGAGAAACCGGGAAGGAAAAACAAAAGCCGCTGGAAAAACTCAAACAATACATTACCATATTCTGCATTTTTACTACCCGCCTCCACTGAAACAACAACAAATAACACTTGGAGACAAAAACTTGTTAACAAGTTCCGACGAATACCTTTCTGGATCCAAAAGGACTTCGTTGTGGTCATTTTTCAGATCAGAATCGCGCAGGAAAAAGTAGATCTGACCAAGCTCGACAGAGCCAAAAAAAAAAAAAAAAAAAAAAAAAAAAAACAAGATGGGGCGGAAAATGAATGCAATAAGAGAAGAAATCCTTCAGTGCACGCACGAAGATCCACTGGAGACGGCCATCCATCAACGGACCTCATCGTCGCGGTACTCCTCGTCGTCACCCTCCTCTTCCTCATCCTCGTCGCGCCGGCCACGGAACTCCCGGGCGCCACGGGGTTCGCGTCCCTCGCGGCTTCCACGCCTGTCGCGGCGATCGTCGTGGCGAACATCGCGACGGTCGTCGCGTTCATCTGGCTCATCCTTAGCGTCGCGAGGGCCGCCTTCGTACTCCTCCTCGTCGTCTTCATAAGGCCCTTCGTCTTCGTACCTCTCGGCGTCGTCACCCCTCCCCATGGCGGCTGATCAACACCAAACCCTAGCGAACTTTGTGAAGGGAAACAAAATGGAGAAATCGAGGAAACAGGTTTTGTGAAAGAGAACGAACTACAGTAGGCGGGAACGAATTTGTTCTGAATAGCTCTGCATCTCTGGGATAAATCGGAGGGCAACAAGTTTGAGGGCCGTGATGCGCTATTGCGAATGGACCAGAAGAGATGCTCAGTACACGAAGCAGAGCTCAACTATTCCTAAAGAACCATACAATCCGCAAACAATGCCAGAAACTTAGCAAAACCATTGAATGTGTCATTGCATGCCAAAAACAATGCCGTTAATAAAATGAGCATGCGCGTAATCTTCAATTCGGAAGGTAATCCCGACCGCCTAACACTTGGCTTTATCAGTCTTCACACAAATTCTCCGCCAAGTCCCAAAAATGTGCAACCTTGCGATCCTCCAGAAACTTCCTGGCAGCAGCGCTTGAGCGACACTGCTCCACTGTAAATTTCTCAAATGCGGCTCGGGCCACCGTACCCTGCCACACCAACTCACACTTGTTCTCCCTTTTCACTCCCATCTCCCCAATACTCTCATCCTCCTCCCCAGCCACACCAGGAGCCACCGCGTCTGCCCAGTGAATCCTCCTCATCATCAGCTTCAAGTACCGCTTAACTGACTTGCTCACGCCTTCCACCACCACCAACGCAAACGAATCAGCCAGTAACGCACACCCAGTCAGCCTATTCTCCTGGGCGTTCACATCCACCTTGAACCGCGTCTGCGGGTGCAGCAGATGCCGCACCTTAAACACCGCTACATGTGTCTCTCCTCCACCACCCACCCCTCCTCCCAGCGTCTCCTCAAACAACTTCCTCTCCTTCTTCTCCTTCCGCTCTGCCGGAGTCAGCTTCCTCGCGAGATTCCGGTCCACATGAGCCTGCTCTCGCTCCGCCGCCGCTGCACGCACCTCCTTCTCCATCTTGGTTGGGTCTTGCGTGGCTTCAGCTGCCATGACGCGCATGAGGTTGCTCATCTTCACCTTGGGTTTCGGAGGCTCCAGCAGGCCCTGCCGGACCATCTCCTGCCGCTCCTTCTCCCGTGCCACGCGCCGCTGCGTCCGCAGCTTCTTCTGCTCGCGCTTGGTCAGCCGCAGCGGCTGCGGAGGCGGCGGGGGGGCTTCGGCGGGCGGCTCGATGGGCACGGGGTGTTCGACGTACATGGTGATCTTGGACGCCTTGAGGGCTGCTGCCACCGCAGAGCCCTCCTCTGGGCACTGGTTCGAGGCCAGAATGATCGCGTCCCTGCAGGGAGGGGGAGGAGGCGAATGGGAGGGTAGTGTGATAAGCAGGCAACTTTAGATAGAGGCCAGTAGACTTTGAGAGGCAACAGGGAAGAGAAGCAAGGAGAAAAAGGCACGAAGAGGAAGGAACAGGAGGGGAAATGCCGCAAGGCAGGTGACTCACCACCACTCGACGTCCGGAATAGGCGGCTTGGGTTTCTCGGAGGGGTGCAGGGGGCGCTGCCCCACCTCCACGAGGTTGGGGTTGTCCCCCCCCTCCGCCGCCTCCCTCTCCTTGGCCCTCTGCCGTGCCGCCATCTCCATCTGCCTCGCCACACCAAACTGCGCCTGCAGCGGTGCAGAGGGGTACAAGGAGAGATGCAAGCACCAGCATGTGCACAACGCACTACGAGGGTGGGGATGAGAGACATAATAGCAGAGGGATGGATGGCACAGGTAAGCGGAAAGGGTTTCCAAGGGGAACCTCGAGAGGAAAACAAACGAACAGAATATGCTCTCACCCTCATGCTTCATCCAACTCCATCTGCTCACTCACCCGCATGCCCCTGCACCCACTCACCCGCATGCGCATGGTCTCACTCACCCGCATGCGCATGGTCTCACTCACCCGCATGCGCATGGTCTCACTCACCCGCATGCGCATGGTCTCGGCCTGTCTGGCGAAGGTGCCTTCCTCCACGAACTGGAACGACGCCTTGCGAGGCCGCACCAGCTTGAGGCGCTCGCTGGCCATGCGCGGATCAAAGAAGGGGCTGTCGTGCGGGTCCTCCTCCAGCTCTGGACGCAGGATCTTGAACGCCTCCTTCTTCGCCTTGTTGATGTTCACCTGGGGTGGGGGGTGAGGGACGGAAGAGAGGGAAAGAGCGAGCAAGTGAGTGAGATAGCGGAAGTGAAGGAGGGGGTGGGGTCCTCCCTCAGCCCTGGGCACAAGATCCCATCCACCTTGCGGTGCATCACATCACCATGTGAGAGTGCAGTACACACACCTTGAACGTGCAGGAAGCACACCTTGAACGTGCAGGAAGCACACCTTGAACGTGCAGGAAGCACACCTTGAACGTGCAGGAAGCACACCTTGAACGTGCAGGAAGCACACCTTGAACGTGCAGGAAGCACACCTTGAACGTGCAGGAAGCACACCTTGAACGTGCAGGAAGCACACCTTGAACGTGCAGGAAGCACACCTTGAACGTGCAGGAAGCACACCTTGAGAGTGCTAACGGGGGCGATTTTGGGCCGCTCCACCACATTGCCATGTTCGTCTATTTCCCTCCCCATCGCATCCAACCGCAGCACCGGCGCCCGCGTCACCTTGCTGCTGCTCGGCGCTCCCACACCCCCAGCCGCCGCCGCCGCCGCTGCTGCTGCTGCATCTGGAGTAAGAATCGGAATGGCAGCACCAGGAGCAGCAGCAGCGCCAGGGACTACGGGCACGATGCCGACGCCAGGGACGGCCACCGGCACCACCACGGGCACAGGCGCTGGTAGCCCCTTTGCTGCTGCTGCTGCGGCTGCTGCTGCTGCTGCCGCTGCAGCGGCGGCTGCTGTTGCAGTGGGGACTACGGCGGCTGCGGGTGGCGCTGCCTTGCTCAGCTGCAATGCAAAGTAAGTAAAGTGGAGGAAAGAATGGGTTTTGGGGACATGCTTGGTGAAACATGCTGTTGCCAAGCCTAATTCGCACAGGCACCGACTGGTTCACTAGGATTGAACGGAATGGATAAAGAAGAGAAGATAAGGGACCAACGGCGACGATAAAGCTCTGAATATGTCCTAAACAGCATATACTGAACCACGAAATAGCCATCCGGTGAACGCTGGTACTCTGGATAACCCCCCTGAGGACACACCTGAGAAAGCACCTGGGAATTCACCTGAGGAAGCTTCTTGAGCTTTTCTTTGAGCTCCTTGTGCATCTGCAGGGCCTTCTTCGCCTTGGCCAGAGCATCCAGCGACACGCTCGGTACCTGGGTGAGGGAATGATGGACAGACGGACGGACAGATGGATGGATGGTTAAAGGCAGGTTGCGAGGTGGTCAAACGCGATCGCCTTTACGAGAGAACGGCGAAATTCAACGTAGAAGGTTCAGCAGCCAATGCAAACGGAAACGAGCATTGGATCCGCTGGTGTCAGCACGGCCTTGGCGAAAATCAGCGCGAATCGGGCAACAAATACGATGGACTCCCTGTGCATCAGTCACGGTGAAGAAAAAATCATACCACCACAAGCTGTCGATCAGTCAGCGAGTAGATTGATATCTAGTGACGGTACCGCCAACCCTACCTTCTTTCCGCCAGCAGCGGGAGCGGAACCCCCGGCTCCGCCTCCCTCCGCGGGTTTCTGTCCGCCGTCGGCACCGTTCTGCACCCCATCTGCTCCGCTGTCCCACCGTCTCCGCTTCCCTGCGCGATCTGCATCGTCGCCGTCAGCAGCGCCATTCTCAGCAGACACTCCGCCTGGCTGGTCCGCTTTCCGCTTACCGACCGGTAGGGTTGCAGTGTCGGCCATGGGACGTCGGGAGAAATATTTATTGAAAGGACAGATGATCTGATCACTATGAAGACAGAAGTCGAAACGGAAACGCGTCTAGTCTGTTTTCAGCGAATGACCTAGATTGGAAATTGAGAACCAGGGACAGAAGTGGAGGGGGTGATGAGGCTAGCTGAAGGGAGGAGGGCGAGGAGGTGATGACTGAACCACAACGGACCAGCACTAGCTTCAGAGGTGAGCTTGCGTCGTTTGCGTTAAGGGCCTTCCCTCACGCAAAGACCTGCGTTTAGTGTGGGGACGTCTAGACCTAGTAGTAATATAAATGAACCCTCTAGTGGGAAATAGAAATTCCTCGAGAATTACCCACGGCGTACACCATATAATATTGCAATTACACTGTTACAAAGGTTACACATGTACCAGGACCTTACAGGTCGAAAAAGCTTAGAGTGATTGGAGAAGAACAGATATTTATGGAGAAGCCAGATTACATGCATCTGCATCGTCTTATCAAACACGTTATACCTGATTTCACGCCACCTGTAACCCATGTACCAAGATCACTATCATTTACAACTGAAACAACTATATTAACACTTTTAGCTCCTGCCAGCTAGCTGTAACACACAGCTACGTGTAGTAGCTGTCAAAAGCGTTGCACTACTATTTATTCTTCTTTACATATCTCTCGTAGACGAAGAAGCAAGCTAGGGCAACATAGGAGACCACGGAGATGCACACGATGTATATATTGATCCCCAAGGCTGAGCCACCAAATGGCGTCACAACCACGAGATTAGTGTTCATGGAAGGGTCAGTGTTCTGCAGTCACAACAGAAACAGGTTGAGGGAAAATAAGAAACAGAATTGGTAAGAGGAAGGAGGCCAGGGCCAGTTTCAATCTGAGGTCAAAAGGAGATTTGTGAGGATTCTGGGAGGGCAACTGAGCGTGGTTTTGTGAATAGGAACATTGAAGAACAAAATGTGAGCACATTCAGGATCACCAGGAACGCTGTGGGGGAGACTGCGTCTGACCTGGCCGTAGGCGACGCTGTTGGCGGAGATGGTGGCTGAGGCGTCGGTGGAGTTAAGAACCCACGCGCGCACGAAGTACTTGGCGCCTGGCGTGTCCTGCGACGGCCGCCACACCGTGTTGTTGCCGAACGCGTTGTACGGTTGCGCTGCACGGAAAAGGTTTGGGGAGGAATAAGTAAAACGATTAGGAAGATAAAGAGATTCTTGCATACGCGATGTGTAGTTGGAAGATGATGAGCTTGGGGGAGGAAGAAAAACACGACGCAAAACGCGGACTCTTGCATAGATGGATGTGTAGTGGAACATGCGGAGAGATGACGCTCAGTAATCTCAGTACTCTCAGGGCTTACAGGCGATGGTGTATTTGCAGTTCTTGGAGTGCGAGAGCACGTTGTTCGGTTGGCGCCACGGGCGGGCCGCCTGGCTGGGCGCGCCGAAGCAGAGCTGCAGGACGACCTTCTTGAACGCCGCGTCGCTGCCCCACATGGACTGGTTCAGGTGCCAGTGGATCGCCATCTCATCCTTGGAGTACGTCATTCCGCTGCGTGAGAGGGACACGGAGCAGCGGGTGGCGCAAAGCGAGTGAGGGAATGGCTTGCGATTCGGGTTGTTATGACTGCGATTGCTTAGGGAAATGAAAAAAATGGGAGACGATGGCGGAATGGAGTTGAATGCTTAGGTCGCTTTGGCAGGGGTACTCACGTGCCGTTGGTGATGTTGTTGCCGTTGACCGTTGTGGTTACCACGATGGCTCGAGTCAGAGACGAAAACTGCACACTGCTCGGGTCGTTGACAGTGTTCGCCGCCGTACGGCACGCTAACGCTAGCGTGAGGAGGATTGTTAGGGTTATAACACGGGCAGGAGGCGCCATCTTGGTTACTATTGCTGAGTGAAGGCGATCTGGTTAGAGGATGCCGTTTTACTATGAAAACAAAGGTTTCGCGAAAAGGCGTTTCCTGGCGACTAACGGCTTCTGATTCTTCGTTGGCAGAAATCTGCTATTTAATCTACATTCTCTCAGAAGCCTTCTCCCGCTGTTTCATCCATGCCGACAGAGAGGACCGCCCCGAGTCGCGGCGCACGTGGATTCGGTACAGTATTCCGATCGGGGGTAGGGTAGGAACGGCAGTCTGCATCGAACCCAGCGCCGCTGTTACCATTCCTCCTGTCCGCTAATACCCCTCCAACCGCCATGACCTCGTCACTTTCTCTCCAGCATCACTAAGCATTATCGCGAATCAGCCAGGACCACGCGTTCCACCAATGCACTCCGTGAAAGCAGCGGCTGCGGCCATGCCCTACCCTTTTGTGCCACCAGTATGTGCTGGAGTTGCCCCCAGCGCCATCCGCCAGCCGCCGCCATTCTCGTCCGCCCACCGCTTCTGCTCGGTTGGAACTAGGTGCCTACTGCCACTACGCTTGGCCTTTCAGTTTGAAAAAGCACAAGCAAGAATATCGTCCAATCATGACCAACCTGAAAATGTCTCGTGGTCTGTTCGAGATTGCGGTCTCCCCGTCAGATTGGGGGAGGTGTGACGCGATAGCCAATCACGGACGACTGTCACTAGATATGACCTTGCTGACGGCTTCAAGGTGCCCAAATGTGGCCAATCGAGCAGCATGCGGCCAGGCGAACCTTGGATAAGTTGGGGACTCATTCACGCCATTGGCTGCGATATTCTCCATCATCTTGGTCAGTTCCAAAGAACCGCTACCATAAGCAGCCTCTCTACAAGGAGAGCAGTTCTTGAAGAATTGAACACGAGAAAATACTCTGCATTTTCTCTTAAGTTTTACCCTCATGTACTTCTTTAGACAAATGCAGAGTCTCGTACCATGGATTTCTGTAGTCGTAATGTATTGACCACTAAACGTGCCAAGAGAGGTCCTGCATGCGCGTTGGGCAGAACTTGGAGAATTGGTCATGAATGTGATACCGCCAGTATCCATTACAGTACATGTTTCTGCTAATGGCTAGTGCCATGCGATATTCACCACTCAACACTTGCTCAACACTGAGGTATATGGTAAAACCCACCCACCCACCTACCAAGTAAAATCTTGGTTCAATTGCACTTCACGAAACTGCGTTGGGAGACAAGCGAATTACCAATGTGCACAGTGTGCGAAATCTCTAGTCATCTACAGCGTATGGATGCCATCTATGCGGTGGCAGCGACGGGGGCAGCGGAGCGAAAGCACGCGCGCTTGCTGGCCCGCACAATGTCCTCCACCTGCCATGCATGGGCAGTGGGCACACACATGCACATGGCATGACATGGCATGAGCATTCAGATGAGAGAGCTGCACCATGTGTCCATTTCACTACATGCACCACTAGGCAAAGGGCGTGCCCTGGTGGGTCAATGGAGCCCAGCACATAGAAATGCTTCGTGGTAAAAATAACAATCTGCTCCCCAAACATGACAATCAGAAACCTGGCTTACCATGACAGAGGGAGCATGTTGGATATGACTTACCATAACAAGGAAGGGCGAGGGAAAGCGGGGGGGGGGGGGGGGGGAGGGGGAAGAGTAGGCGCACCTGGGGCAGGGCAAGGCGTTCAAGGTTGGCAGCGTAGGGCATGGGAACGTCTGAGCCACAGATGCGCTCCACCGGTGCATCCAGGTAGTCGAATGATGACTCCACCACCGTCGCACTGCACACTCAAGGGCAGAGGGAGGCACACAGGGAAGAGTTCAGTGGAGAGTGTAGGGGGAAGAGGCAAAGGGTGTTGAATGCGGGGGAGCGAAATGGGCAAAAAATGAGTATTCCCCCCATATTGCTTCACCAAGCACCCTTCCCCCACCCTTTCCATCCAAACCCCCCAACCCCTCCCCCCTCCCCCCCCCCCCCCCCCCCCCCCCCCCCCCCCCCTCACCAGATCTCAGCACCGACACCGGACTGCGGCCAGCCCTCCTCGACGGTAACGAGGCGCGACGTCTTGCGCACTGAGGCGTTGATGGCCTCCCGATCCAACGGCCGGATCGTGCGCAGATTCAGGACCTGGTGGGAACAGGTGCCCGGTGAGAGGGGCAGCGCAGAGGGGGGCGAGGGGTTGGATGGGTGGGGTGATGCTTAGTGGAACGAGGGGTTGGATGGGCGGAGTTGAAGGAGCAGCAGTGCAGGGCAGGGAGGTGAAGCATAGAGCGTAGCGAGCAGGCATTGTGCGGCATGGAGTGTCAAGGAGTAGCATGGGGCGGCATGGAGGGGCATGGCAGGGGAAGGTGTGACTGACCTCAGCAGAGATGCCCTCCTTGGCCAACTCGTCCGCCGCCTGCCAGCACCACGGGAGTGCATTGGGGGAGAGAGGAGGGGAAGGCGCAGAGCGTCTGATTGTTAGAAACAAGTGAGCTCAGCGAGCAACTGACCTCGGCGGAGATGCCCTCCTTGGTCAACTCGTCTGCCGCCTGCCAGCACCACCGATGCGCAATGAGAGGGGGAAGAGAAGGAGGGGGGGGGAAATGGCACAGTGCGGTGGACCGTTAGAAACTGACATTGAGGAGTGGCAGCATCGCAACCATGGGGCATGCGGGAAGAGTTCTCGAAACGGGTGCTGTTCAACACTTTCCCCGCTGCTCGGTGCTCTATTTGGAGAGTCAAGCCGCTCTGAATTGACGCACATGAACTCCGCACACCCATTGAGAGTTTTCCCCCATCTCGCCCTCCCCCTCCCTCAACTGTGCACACAGCACCCCCTCTCCCCGCTCCTTGAGCGCGGCCAATCCCCGCCTCTCCCCACCCCTCTTCCCCTCACTCACCTTGAGCGCGACGCCAACCATGCGCGAGAAGGCGACGAGCGTGACGTCCTTGCCCTCGCGCTCCACCTTGGCCTTCCCGATGGGCACCGTGAAGTTGGGGTCCTGCGCCTGGGGCGACACTGGGAACGCCTCTCCGTACCTGTGGGGAGAGGGGAAAGGGGGAAATGGGGGAGGGATCAGGGGAGAGATGGGTGTGTTTGAGTGGAATGAGAGTGCAGACGGATTCAAAGCAAATGGGCACCGTGAAGTTCGGGTCCTGTGCCGGGGGGGACACCGGGAACACCTCGCCGTACCTGGGGAGGAGGAGGGAGGGGAAGGGTGGGAGGCTGGCGAGCGATGGGTGAGTGACGCCACAGCTGGACTCAGCTTCATGCGCCCCTCCGCGTCCTTCTCCTCGTTCCCTCACACAGGACCATTCCCTCACAACCTCCACTGCCCCTCAACCCCAGTGAACCCGCCCTATTTCCCCTACCCCTCCCCATCTGTGCGCGTGCAGGATCTCGTTCCCCAGCACCACGGGTGGCGGATGGCGGATGCCGACCTTCATCAGCCCCCGGCGCCCCTCTCCCCAAACCAAACTCTTCCCTCACAACCCCAGCACCCCCACAATTCCCTCTCCCCACACTCTCTCCCTCCCATGCGTGCAGCGTACAGGATCTCGTTCTCCAGCACCACCACGGGGTCGGGGTCGCGGATGGCCGCCGTTATCAGTCCCGCGTGCGCGTTCTCCCAGCCCCCCTCACCCCTCCCTTTCGCCCTCCCCATCTGTGAGCGTACAGGATCTCGTTCTCAAGCACGACGACGGGGTCGGGGTCGCGGATGGCGGCCTTCATGAGCCCGCGCGCGTCCTCCGCACTCCACGGTGCCAGCACCTTGAGCCCCGGCACGTGCCCGTACCACGACGCGAAGCACTGGGGGGGGGGGGGGGAAATGGGGGTTGGAGGAATTGACGGGTGAGAATGGGGATGGGGATGGGGATGGGGATGGGGATGGGGATGGGGATGGGGATGGGGATGGGGATGGGGATGGGGATGGGGATGGGGATGGGGATGGGGACGGGGACGGGGATGGGGATGGGGACGGGGACGGGGATGGGGATGGGGATGGGGACGGGGATGGGGACGGGGATGGGGACGGGGACGGGGATGGGGATGGGGACGGGGACGGGGATGGGGATGGGGATGGGGACGGGGATGGGGACGGGGATGGGGATGGGGATGGGGACGGGGATGGGGACGGGGACGGGGATGGGGATGGGGATGGGGACGGGGATGGGGACGGGGATGGGGACGGGGATGGGGACGGGGATGGGGACGGAGATGGGGACGGGGATGGGGATGGGGATGGGGACGGGGACGGGGATGGGGACGGGGATGGGGACGGGGACGGGGATTGGGATGGGGACGGGGACGGGGATGGGGATGGGGATGGGGACGGGGATGGGGACGGGGATGGGGACGGGGATGGGGATGGGGATGGGGACGGGGATGGGGACGGGGACGGGGATGGGGATGGGGATGGGGACGGGGATGGGGACGGGGATGGGGACGGGGATGGGGACGGAGATGGGGACGGAGACGGGGACGGGGACGGGGACGGGGATGGGGACGGGGATGGGGACGGGGATGGGGACGGGGATGGGGACGGGGATGGGGACGGGGATGGGGACGGGGATGGGGACGGGGATGGGGACGGGGATGGGGACGGGGATGGGGACGGGGACGGGGACGGGGACGGGGACGGGGACGGGGATGGGGACGGGGACGGGGACGGGGACGGGGACGGGGACGGGGATGGGGACGGGGATGGGGACGGGGATGGGGACGGGGATGGGGATGGGGACGGGGACGGGGATGGGGATGGGGATGGGGACGGGGATGGGGACGGGGATGGGGACGGGGATGGGGACGGGGATGGGGACGGGGACGGGGATGGGGACGGGGATGGGGACGGGGATGGGGACGGGGATGGGGACGGGGACGGGGATGGGGATGGGGATGGGGACGGGGATGGGGACGGGGATGGGGACGGGGACGGGGATGGGGATGGGGACGGGGACGGGGATGGGGATGGGGATGGGGATGGGGATGGGGATGGGGATGGGGATGGGGATGGGGATGGGGATGGGATGAGAAGGTGGGAAGGAGGGGCACGTTGCTGTACCATGATGGTGAACACTCAGCTCAGCTGAGTGGAAAGCACCATCGACAGCACCATCACCATAGACTGGCAGAGGAGGGGAGGGGAAAGCACCATCGACAGCTCAGCTCATCATAGCCGAACTTCTGGCACCCAGCAGCAGCAGCATTACTCAGCGGCAGCATTCAGCACCACTCAGCACCACTTAGCAGCAGTGAACGGCAGAGTCCGCACCTGCGAGTGCTGCGCGCCGACGCCAGCAGCGGCGCCATTAGGGCCGCGGAAGACGATGGGGCAGCTGATCTGCCCCGCCGACATGTAGTGCGCCTTCGCCGCGCTGTTCACTATGTGGTCGATCGCCTGACGCAGGTTGGTAGAGGGGGGGGAAAAAGGGGATGGATGAACGAGGGGGCGCATGGCATGGGGAAGGAGGTGAGCGAATGACACGGCTCGCATGGTGTGGCGTGGCATTGAAGGGCACGGCATGGCAGGGCACGGCATGGCAGGGCATGGTATGGCAGGGCATGTATGGCAGGGCATGGTATGGCAGGGCATGGTATGGCAGGGCATGGTATGGCAGGGCACGGCATGGCAGGGCATGGTATGGCAGGGCACGGTATGGCACGGGGCGTACCTGCATGGAGAAGTTGAAGGTCATGAACTCGACGACGGGCTTCAAGCCGTACATGGCCGCTCCCACCCCGATGCCCGCGAACCCCGCCTGCTCGCACGCGCGCACACCGCCGTGAGTGCACGCATGGGGGGAAAGAATTCATAAGAAACAAGAACTGAAAATAGACAACAAGAGAGCGGTCGGGACATGCATGCACTACCAGCGGTCCCTGATACTCCCATCAAGCAAGTGCGGGCACACGATCGCTCCGAGTTAACAAGCCACTCCCGTGCCCTTCGCACCACACAGCATCACACAGCACCGAAGAGGCGTGCAGAGCGGCGCACCTCGGTGATGGGCGTGTCGAGCACGCGGTCGGGGCCGTACTTCTGCAGCAGCCCCTTGGTGATCTTGTACGCCCCCTGGTACTCCCCCACCTGCCGGGCGCGCGGAGTGCGGGGGGGGTTGACAGGGGGAAGCGAAGAATGTGCGGTGAGAAGATGATAGAGAGACAGGGGGGGGGGGGGGGGGGGGGGGGGGCGCAGGGCAGCCCCTTGGTGATCTTGTACGCCCCCTGGTATTCCCCCACCTGCCTTCCGCCGTGCGAACGAGCGGGAGGTGGGCACTGACAGGGAAAAAGCGGAATGCATGGTGGGAGGCGGAAGAAGAGGCGGCGAGAGGGGCGGATGGGAGGCAACGAAAACAGATGCCATGAGAGCAACAACGGAAAAGGAGCGTTCTCCGCTCCTTCTCTCGATCGACTACAATCGCCCACTCGCTTGCACTGAACACGCCGGACGGAAAACGGCGATTAGCAGGTCAAGCACATTCCCGCCTCCCCCTCCTCCTCCATCCACCCCCCCCCCCCCCCCCCCCCCCCCCCCCCTCCCCCCTCCATCCCGTCTCTCCTCTCCCCTCTCACCTCCACACCCATGATGAACACTCTAAGTTCCGAATCCTCACCCACCCCACCCTCTTGTTCCTCTCCATCCCCCCCACCCCCGCTTTCCCCCCCAGCGTGCGCGCACCTCTTCGCCCATGATGAACACTTTAGAGTCGGATGCCATCTCCTCGTCCAGCGCCGAGTTGATGGCGTCGCGCACCGTCATCTGCGCCGCATGGGCGGAAGGGAGGCGGGTGGGGAGTGGCAAGGGGAGGGGGGAGGGGGTGCAGGGCGCACGGCGTGTTGATCAATCCCGGTGAAGGGCACAGGGGGCACGGCGCAGGGGGCACGGCGCAGGGGGCAGGGCGCCACATCTCCGTGATCGGATCTTAGCCGCGACCATCAATACAGCCATCACCGCGGTACAGCTGCGACGCGGGGGAAAGCGAAACGGCACGATCCGAGCAGGGCCGTTCAGGCTTGAGCAGATCCATGCGGAACCACATGACACACGGCGGAGCAGATTCGATGGACACGGTCAGGGATCTGGGGAGATCATGGCGAGCGACTCTATGCGACACTGTGCTGCCCGGATCCGCTCCGGCATACTCGTCGTCGCTTTCCGGTCGGAAGCGCGATTCCATGAAAGACGCGTGAAGAGTAATGCAGGCAGGCATCGTGAAATAAAACAATCCACGAAGGAATGCAACAGCCAGGCGATCGCTGTAGAACGGTGTACGGACGAGCCGATGCGATTCACGAGGCGGCAGGAAGCCCGGGGAGTACCTCGCCGGAGACCGATGACGCGAAGCGGCGTTGCGCCGCTGCCGCGGCTGCGAGCCCATCGAGCCGAGCAGCCGGCACGACGCGGCTGGCGATGGTTCGCCGCAGAGCCCTGACGGCGTGCATGCTGACGTCAGAGCACTAACGACTCAAGCTCGACACGGCGCGACAAAGACGATCTTTCGCCTTCTGCGGATGCCGAGCACACGGCGAGCAGAGGCGCGACGATGCCAAGGCAAGGTAGATTCGAGTTCTGCCGGAGCTATGCTCGCCAGAAACTGAGGTGCTCTGCTCTACCTGGGCGAAAGTGGCAGGATGGGAGGAAATAATCGAGGCAGGCCAAGTGGAGCGTGGAGCAGGGTGGCGCCACCAGCAGTTGCAGCGGGTGTGATGGCGGATCTGGGCAGGGGGGAGTGGCGCTCGGAGGAGGAAGCGAGCGGAGCAGATTGGCGGAGCTAGAAGCGCAATGCGGGTTGCCGGGGGGAACTCGATGAGGGAAAGGGAATGCGGATGCTCCCGCTTCCCCCTCAGCCAACCCCATGATCTCGTGAACTTTGGCAAATCAGGTGGCGTCAACGGAATGCAGACGCCTCACGTGGCAGCCATCGACAGGCCCCTGAGCTACACGCGCTCAAATATCTGGGCCATTTTTGAAGATTTCGCTAATAACAGGAAATTCTCAAGAACATAAAGTATCAGAAACAATTGTTGCCATGGAATTTTTGGCAGTAATTTTAGACTAATATGCACAAGCCTAGGCGCTTCTGAAATTTAAGAATTTCTTAGCTCCAAAAGATTCAGATTGAATTTTTAGGCGATGTTGGCATGCAGAGATCCACAGAAAATAACATGGTAGAACTTGAAGGGCTTGTTTTGGAAAGCATAGACGATTCCAACTTATCGCATCACAACAAATGTATCACTGACATCTTCCTATACATGAATGCCGAATCCGCTCTTACTCGGGTCGATGGGGTCGATGCGTAAACCCCACTTCCGCCTTCTGACAGGCCCGTCTCAGTTTTCCCGCCAATCAGCACCACATCCTTCACCTCATACCTCCTCACTTCACACGCGACCCTCGGTATCATCATCCGTCATCCGCGCTAGACTAGCTTCTTCCTGTCGGCTCCTAAGAAAGCCTGACATATATAAGTCGACCGCCGTGGTACTGTGGAGCACAACGTGACCCTCTCGTCAGACAACGAGTTTTTGGTAGGCGTGTTGTTGTTGTTGTTTTTTTTTTTGGGTACCAGAACCCGCCATTCCTCGCATTTATAGTGTCCGTCATTTCTGCTGTGTCTTCATCGTAGCGTCCCCTGCGTTCCCGCAATGGCCCTCCCGCTCGCTGCCTTTCGGTTTTTCCGAGTGAGCCCGTTTGCTTCCGCCGCTCGCAGGTCGTCACCCGCCGTGCAATGCCGCCCCCTCTTTCGTTCATTCCCCTCCGCCAGCCCCTTTCACTCCGCCGACCCATTTTCCCTCCGCCATCCGCCGATGGTCAGCAAGGTCGAGATTCTCCGCCAACGCCGCCTCGTCTCCGACGCGGAAGCCGCCCGCGCCGATGCCTCCGCGCTCATGCCGCGCGCGGAGGCCTCCGCGCACCTGGACACCTCCGCCGCACTCGGCCAGGGCGGGGCGGAACCCGCTGGTTCGGAAGGCGGAACTCCGCGCGCGGGAGCGGACCTGGAGGGCATCGCGCGGCGGAGCAGTTTGACGGGGGAGATGAAGCGCGAGATCTGCGAGCTGAAGCAGCGCAGCGACAAGATGTCGCAAGACATGATCGTGGCGGAGATGGAGGCAAGGCACGGCGTGCGCCTGAGCCGCACGACGGTGTGCAAGATCCTCAAGGACTCGCCCAAGTGGCTCCACCTCTCCGACGCTGAGGCTCGGCAGAAGCGCCAGAGGCTCGGCAAGTTCCCGGACCTGGAGGACGAGCTCATCGATTGGTTCCGAGAGGTGCGGTGTGGTGCTGATCTGTTTGGCACATTTTTCCTCATCACATTTATTCAGATTCCCTCCTTCCCCTGTGCTCTTACAAGGTGCAGCTAGTGTGCGTGTGCTTTGCAGATCATATCGCAGCGCCCCAATATAGTGGACTCCATTATAGTGGACAAGGCGCGGCAGCTGGCGGGGGAGCGGGGCATCGCGGCAGGCGAGTTCAAGATGTCGGACGGCTGGCTCAGCCGCTTCAAGCGCCGCATCAGCGCCGCCATCCAGCAGCAGCCCGCCAGCAGCAGTGAGTAATGCCCGCCTCCGGTGGCGGCAGTGGCGGTGGCGGTGGCGGTGGCGGTCGGTAATGCGTGGGTTGGTGCAGAGAGGTCGTGTAGTGTAGCCGCTTGAGGCACACGGCGCTGAGCGGTCCTCACATGGCACGAGGCAGTGAATGCAGTGAGGCACGCACAGCATCCACAGCACACAGCAACCGCATGTGTGCATCCCACCATTATGTGTCCGTGTGCGCGCAGGGGAAGCGCAGGAGGAGCAGCTGGCAGGGCGGGCAGGGGAGGGCGACGACAGCGACGAGGATGTGCCGCCCAGTAGGAAGGTGCGTGCGTTGTGGGGGTGAGAGTGGTGTGCGAGGGCGGGCTGCGCGTGTGGCAAGGCACTGTGTGTGTGTGTGTGTGCCTGGTGCACTGGTTCGTGTGAGTGCAGTGCAGTGCAGTGTGGCACACAGCAGCCAGTCCATGCCCTGTCGCCAACCTCGCTCTCACCCTCCCGCCCTGCTCCCTTTTCCCTTCTCTTCCTCCACTCCTCTCCTTTTCCTTCCCCTCAGCGCGCGCGTTGGAACCCCACCACGTACCGCAAGTCCTTCTCCTTTGTGCCCACACTCGGCCTGCCCGTCGTCGACCTGCTCGCCCCGCTCCCAGGTATACCCGCCTCACCGCTTGCCTGCAAGAAAGTTGTGTTTTCCGTGTTGAATTAAACCAAGGTGAAAGGAATAGGATCACCTGTTGACACCTAATTCTCTGCTCTTTCTCCTTGAACGCTCCTCACCACCCTCCCCCCCGTCCCACATCCTCTCTCGGCAGGCGAGCGAGTGTTGGACCTGGGGTGTGGCGAGGGCACGCTGTCCAAGTTCCTGTCAGCGCTGGGGTGCCACGTGGTGGGAGTGGATTCGTCGCCGGACATGGTGGAGATGGCACGCCGCGACGGGGTCAACGCCATCCTCGCTGACGCCTGCCAGCTGCAGTGAGTGCTCTTCAGCCGAACTTGTCTTTAATGCTTCTACCAGTACATGCTCTCCTCATGCACTGCTGCACTCTGGGCACATCACTTTCACTGCCTTGAGCACTCGCACTTGTGAGCATTCACGCCCATTCATTCCCCATTCACTTACCATTCTACCACCCCCTTCCCCCCTATCCCCGTTCCCACGGGATCCCCCCCCGGCAGGTTCTCGTCGGAGTTTGACTGTGTGTTCAGCAACGCAGCGCTGCACTGGATGAAGCGAGACCCCTCCCTGGTCGTCGCCAACGTGCGCGCCGCCCTCAAGCCCGGCGGCAGGTGAGGGCCCTCCCCACCCCCTTCCTCGCCACCTTGGCCACACCACCACTCTGTTGCCTGCTCCTCTCTCCAAGCACCCTCATCACCACCTCTCATGCAGCGTGGCGGCCCCCACCCCTCTCCAACCCCCCACACCCATTGTCCACCCGCATTGCCCTCCTCTCCTTTCCCCACCTCCCTCCCCCCATCCTTCCCCAGGTTTGTGGCGGAGATGGGGGGGTTTGGCAACGTGGCATCGGTGGTGACGGCACTGGTGGCGGTGCTGCGGTCACGGGGAATAGACGCGGCAGCCATGGTGCCGTGGTACTTCCCCACGCAGGAGGAGTACAGGTGCGCCCACCCGTACCACAGGGCCGGGGGTAGAGGGAGAAAAGGGAGCAAGAGTTTCAGTTTCAGGGAAAAGAGAAGTTGAAGTGGGACAGTGATTGTTTGTTTTCAGAGGGGCAGCGGTGGGGACAGCTGGGCTGGCATGAACTCGGAGTGTCCGAAAGTGACACATCCAAAAGTGGCACATCCAAAAGTGGCACATCCTAAAGTGGCACATCCAAAAGTGGCACATCCAAAAGTGGCACATCCAAAAGTGGCACATCCTAAAGTGGCACATCCAAAAGTGGCACATCCAAAAGTGGCACATCCAAAAGTGGCACATCCAAAAGTGGTACATCCAAAAGTGGCACATCCAAAAGTGGCACATCCAAAAGTGGCACATCCAAAAGTGGCACATCCAAAAGTGACACATCCAAAAGTGACACATCCAAAAGTGGCACATCCAAAAGTGGCACATCCAATAGTGGCACATCCAAAAGTGGCACATCCAAAAGTGGCACATCCAAAAGTGGCACATCCAAAAGTGACACATCCAAAAGTGGCACATCCAAAAGTGACACATCCAAAAGTGACACATCCAAAAGTGGCACATCCAAAAGTGTCACAGGGTGTATTTTGAGTCGACTCAACAGTGACACATCCAAAAGTGACACAGGGTGGAGGCGTCTCCAATAGTCTGTTTGGCTCCTTCCCTCCCAAGCCTCCACTCCTCCCTCAACTCCACACCTTCCCAACATCACAGGCAGCTGCTGGAGGCACACGGCTTTGAGGTGGAGCACATGGAGATGATAACCCGACCCACGCTGCATACCCACCCTGCAACCCCTCTCCCTCTTTCCCCCCCACAACACAACAGGCAGCTGCTGGAGGCACACGGCTTTGAGGTGGAGCACATGGAGATGATAGCCCGCCCCACGCTGCTGCCGGACGGCGTGGCGAGCTGGCTGGACGCATTCGCGCAGAGCTTCTTCCACGGGCTGAGCGAGGCCGACAAGAACGCCGTGTACGACGACGTGCACCTCGCACTGCACCCCACGCTCTGTGATTCTGAGGGCCGCTGGTTCGCCGACTATGTGCGCCTGCGCTTCCGCGCCTCCCTGCCTGCGGCTCCTCCGGTGACGGGGGAGGCTGCTGGGCTGCCGTCACCGGGGCAGGCGGTGGGGGTGCAGGGCGAGCAGGGAGGTCAGGGAGGGGAGACTGTGCAAGAGGGTGGCGATTGATGGGAGGGGTGGAGGTGTGGAAAGAGAGCCACCAGTGTTCTCCTGTACAGTACAGTTACCCTAATAAAAGCACTGACAAAGGTCTGTTGGAGGCTGTACGAAACCTCTAGTGTGCTGTGCATAGGAAACATCTGCTAGTTGCTTGGCAACTGGAAGAATTGTAGTTTTTGATAACAAAGGTGGTTATGTTCTGTAGCAAACTGCGAGGGAAAAACCCAACAGCGTTAAAATTTTGGAAACAGGTGGCAATGTTGTAGCTGCTGAAAACAAGTCAGAAGTTAGCCACCAAATGCTCTCCTGTTGCATGTCCTGGGCTACTCTTGCTCTTACATCACAACTCCTCATGCCCAAGCTCCTCCTCATCCTCCTCCTCCCCACCCTCCTCTCCCTCCTCCACGCCGTCAACAGCCTCCACGGCAATCTCCTCCAACCCCTCCAAGTCCTCATACGCCGGGTCCACCTCGTACCCCCCCCACTCCCCGGCCTCCTCCCCTCCATCCCCTCCCTCCTCTCCGCTCTCCTCTCCCTCCTCTCTCTCCTGTTCACCCTCAATCACTCCATCCACATCCTCCACTCCCCCCTCCTCCTCCTCCTCTGCCGTTGCCTCCCTCACAGGCCCCTCCTCTGGTCGAGGGGCTGAGTGGAAGCCGGCGAATCGCAGCGTGCCACGTGGCGCGGAGGGCGGGAGGTCATCAAACTCCCCTCGGGTGACTCTCTCTGTGAAGCGCCGCTGCTCCTCGTCCAGCGCCCCCCACTCCGCCACTATGCGCCTCGCCCCCTGCCATACCCAGCGCACACACCGGCACAGACACAGGAGAAGGGAAATGCAGAAGAAAAATCCAAGCTCAATATTAAGAGAGAAGAGTCATAAGGGTGAGAATGGAGAGGAGTTTTTAGAGGGGTTGTTGCACTCACCTGCAGCTTGGGCTCCTTGGTCATGGGGTTGTTGCACTCACCTGCAGCTTGGGCTCCTTGGTCATGGGGTTGTTGCAGAGGTCGATGGTCTTGGCGCGTGCCTTGGTGGCGTTGCCACACCACGACTCACACCACAGCCACTCCTGCGGCAGCGAGAAGATGGGTACTGTGTGCTGCGCGTAGTTGGGCAGGTCCTGATGGGAGGGACAGGGGGAGGGGGAGGGAAAAGGGGGAAAACTGTTTGGAGAAGACAGGGTGGAGACGAATTACGAGAGGAAAGAAAATGGAGGAGGTGGCACCTGGTGCAGGTGAGGGGCGGGGAGGCGGCACCTAGTGCAGGTGAGAGGAGGGGAGGCTTTACCTGGTCGAGGTTGGCGAGGGAGTTGGGATCCTTGCTGAGGCTCTCGTAGATGACTCTCAGCGTGTCACCCGCTGCCATGCGCCGGAAGCGCACCAGATCCACCACGTACAGCGCGCTGCCACATGAAAGTGGATGGGGTGGGGTTGAGGTGGGTGGTGGGGGGTGGGGCGGGGTGGTGGAAGTTTGCGGGTGGGGTGCAGGGAGGACGGGCAAGTGCGCAGAGACGGCAGAGCAGCAGAGGTGGGGGGAGAGAGGGTAGTGCATGGCTCAAGCATCTGCTACCTTACTGTCTCACCTGATGTGGTACGGCTTTCCTCTCAAATGGTCCTTCCAAAAACCCTGCAGTTATGCAACAAGAAAGATCAGAAACGAAAGATAGTAATTAGTTGAGGATAGAGGAACAAAAAACAAATCCTGCTCTCCACTGCCCGCTCACCTGCTTCCAGAACCTGTAGCCCTCCATGTCGCGGTTGTTGTCACACATGGGCGTGTACGCGAGGGGGTGGCCGTGCAGCGGCATGTCGTACAGCCGCCCCATGTCCTCCCTCACCACCTGATCCGCATCCACGAATATCACCTGGGGGAGTGGGGGAGGGGGCGGAGGTGACATTGGTTGCAGCAGAGGGGGATGGCAGCGGAGGTGGCAGCGAGAGAGGGAGGGGCGACCTTTAGCGGGGAGAGGGGAAGATGACCTTTAGCGGGGAGAGGGGGAAGATGACCTTTAGCGGGGAGAGGGGGAAGATGACCTTTAGAGCGGGGAGAGGGGGAAGATGACCTTTAGCGGGGAGAGGGGGAAGATGACCTTTAGCGGGGAGAGGGGGAAGATGACCTTTAGCGGGGAGAGGGG